TTATAAAACTATCTAGAATCTTGGAAACCAAGGGTCAACTCAAAAGAGATTTAATTCTGGGAGGAAAATCACCAAAGACTGGGTAAGTGTACTGTAGAAAGGACTAGAATGTATGTTGGTATCCTTCTAAATAGTGCTGTATTAAGTTTGATTTGTTCTACGTCTATTTTTATGTAATGCCTGCTAAATGAATGCTAAATTTAGCTTTGTTTGTAATTCTATTTTCTAATTTTTAAAAGCATAGCAGGTTGTTCTTTAAGCCTGAATTAATCTGTATTTCCAGTTAAGCCCACCTTTTAGTAACTTGGCCATTTGCCAAAGAGACTGTATTTCAGGCTCCACTGTCCATCTGGTGAGAAGTTGTCTGGTTTCCAGACAGGACCTAGTGGTCTCTGAAATGCAGTTCTTACAGCCTCCAAAATCTACAAAACCACCACTGGTGTAGCAGGTGATCTCCCTGTCTCAATTAGGTAATTTGACACGAGGAATTGTGGCTCCTTAAGTTTCATTTGTGACTATGTTCCTTCCAGGATCAGAGTATGAGCTATTGATGAATATTATTGACCAATTAACAGCTTTAAAAGTTGCATTGAAGTTCTGAAGGCAAGACTACTTTAAATTCAATATTTAAAGAAATAATTCACCTTATACTAAAGGTTCCTGTTAACACGAAGCATGACTGTACCATTGGAGTTACTATGTTCTCGACACAGGGAGCTTGAATTGCTCAGGACCTACAGCTGCTAGTAAATGCCACAATGAGGATGCTGATCCTTAAGGTTTTTTACTCCAGATTCCAGTGTTCTACCCACTGTGCCACACTGCTGCTGGCTTTTACGGATTTTTGAAAGGTGGTGTTCTTTTTGTTTTTTTCTTTTAAGTTTTAAATCATTTTTTATTTTTCAGTTACAGTTGACATACAAGTAGAATAATAGTTTCAGGTGTAGGTTTTGTTCTTATTTAGAAATGTAAATGGAGTTTTGTGGGGTTTTTTTTCTTTTAGATCAGAAAATCTAATTCATTGCAAATATTGTCAAGTTGTAATTTTACACTGTTTAACAGAGGGACTTTGGAGCCAAGTCTGAACTCTAATTCCAGTCACCCACTTGTGAACTTTCCAAAAGTAAAGTTACTTTAGTCCATTTTCTTATTTAGGAAATAAGGCTAATGCTGTGAAAACTAAATGAGATACCAATTCCTTTAAAGCCTGTAACCCATGGAAAGGCATGTAGAAATCAGACAGTGACCCCCTTTTCAGCTAAAATTCTGAAATAGCTCTCTGTACAACTGATTTAAAGTCCTCAGGAATTTACATTCTCGTGGGAGAAACAAATAAGATAAATAACTAAAATATGTGTGTAGTAGTGATATGAGCTAAGGAGAAAATAGAAAGCAGAGAAAGGGGAGATAAAATCTTGGGAAGCAGTTAAAATTTTAGGTAGGGTGAACAGCTAAGACCTCAACAGAAAGGGGACTGTTGACTGATCTAAACACCTGAAGAATAAGAAGGTTCTGCTTGCGTAGATGTGTCCGGGAAACACATCTCAGGTAGTGGGAGCAGCAAGTACAAAGTCCCTGATGCAGGAGTGTCCATGATCCGTGCAAGGAACTTCAGAGAGGATGGTATGATCAGGGCGGGATAAACAAGGGACAGCACAGTTGAAGGTGAGGTCATTGTTAGCAGTGGGCCAGTTCGTAGATCATGTGGGGTTTTGTAGGTCATAGTAAGAATGCCGGGGGGTTGAGAAGAGGAGCCCCATGGTCTGACTTACGTTTTAAAAGTACCTCTCTGGCTGCTGTGTTGAGAGATGCACTGTGGGAGGAGGAGGAGTAAGGGAGGTGGCCAGCAAGGACAGAAGCACAGAGACCAGCTAAGAGGCTGCCGCAGTAACTCAGAGAATGGCGGTGTCCACCTTCATAGAGTAACCGTGAGGCATTCTGCCCCCGGAGGTGCAGGAGGCTTTTCCTGTGTTCCCACTGTACACGTAAAGACCAGGAGGGGTGGGAGTCAGGTCGTTTTGGAAACCATACCATCCTGGTTTCTTCATTTTCTTTAGTAGATTGCAGCACTGTATAAAGGCCACTTTGCATATAACTTTATCTGTGCCCCGCTTGCCTGGGAAATTTTCTTGCAAATGAAGGGAGCACTTTGTAAAATAGATGATCTTTGTCAGTTGTCATAGTGGAGCTGTCCCTGGTGATCGTCCCATGGCAACGAGGCTAGCTGAAGCACTGTTTCATTGTGGTAGCTATCGATTCTGACATCTCAAAGAAAAGTAGGTTACTAGGGCTGACGAGCACCACCGAGACGCCTGCAGACCACAGAACGGAGCTCCCCTGCCTCCCTCGGCAGACAGACGTCACAGGGAAATGGGAACCTCTCTGCAAGATGTCACCGTGCTATTTATTCTCCCGCTAGCTGAAGCTGTACTTTTCTTTCTTTTAAACCTTTCTGTTACGATTTGCTTCTTATGGCCTTCGAAATGTGTGTTATATTTCAAGGTTGCTTGAAAAAGTAACTGTGAATATATCAGAAAATTGGAATGACCTTTTAATTTACTAGATTAAGATTCAACTTCAAACATGTGACCTTTACACAAATTGTCATGAAATTCTCAAATGAAATTAGGCTTAATTTATGTGTATGCATGTATCTGCACTGTAAGAGTAGAGACTATGTACTAGATTATAAATCAAACGCAACAAGAGTGTCACAGCTGCACAAGGGGCAGAAATAATTGATTTACGTCAGCCCGGCTTAGCTGCTGCCGCTGACTCAAAACTCCCTTTGTCTTTCAAGGATCTGTAGGAGTTATAACCAATATCAGATCACACATGAATGGATATGGTATAATTTACTATCATAATTAAGATGTCAGTAACATATGCTCAAATTGAGTATGTTTGTTGGTTTAATTACAAACATTTTATATTTTCCTAAGGTGAAAAAAGAAACTAGAGTATCATTTTACATGTTTTATGTATTAAGAAGATAAAGTCAAAAAGACTGAACTGTCTACTATTTTTTTGTAAAAAAATATAATTTACTATATTTTTACTCCTATGTCTTTATTATTGATAGTCTTTTTGCAATAAAAGAAAAAAGTGGGTACTTGTCAATTCATGATTTTGTTTCTGTAAAGTCACGTTTCTGTGACCACCATCTTTATGTCTATGGCATTTAACAGTTGTAGACATTTCCACAGCTGTCGCCTCTCTAGGTTCTACCAGGGACCCTTGGTGGGATAGGGAAGGTAGGCAGGATAGTCCCATTTTACGGCAAGGGACCACAACATTTAGGAACAACCTCAACGTCATTTGACTATAAGGTATAAAGTGAGTAGACTCAGGTCTTTGGAGTCCTGTCCTGGGACCCTGTCCCTAACACCAAGCCATTTCCGTCTTCTCTGTGTGGCCTTTTTCAGATCTGTGGAGTACTGGTACTGGTAGAATGAATGGAGATATGTTGCAGAAAGACTAATTCAGGAGCAGCCGGTAGAGATGACAGTGCTATTCGAAGTGTCTGAGATTCCTGACTGATGGGCTTCTGTAAATGTTTACCGATGTCTTCTTGGAAACTTGCATTAAATCCAGAACAGCATCAACACATGCTATTTAAAAACTGATAAATCCTCTCAAATGTAATGTTGAGTGAAAAAAGTCACAAGAGAGACCTGCAGTGTGGTTCCCTTTACGGAGAGTTCCAATACAGGCCAACAAAGCTGTGACGTTAGAAGTCAGGACAGCAGTTACTCTTTTACGGGGGGAGGGTGTGAGGGCATATTGAATTGATCTGGGTCCTGTGATACAGGTATTCCTTTGGGAAGGTTCATTTGACATTTTATTCTGAAGTAAAACTCTTTTAAATGCTTTATTTTCATAGGTAGTAGTTTGCTTAAATGTCTTCGACTTAAAGAACAGTTCTTATATGTTTATTCTGACTGTAAACTACCATTTCCCAGCAGAAGTCAATTACCCCTTTTTGTTGTTTCTGAGCACAGTGCCTTTATTATGACTTCTTGGAGCTTCCTCTCCAGAAAAAGTTGCCATGGAGCCATCATAAGATGCTTGCCAAAAAACATGCCCTGGCCAGTGTGGCTCAATTGGTTGGAGCATGGTCCTATAAACCAAAAGGTTGCAGATTCGATCCCCAGTCGGGGCACATGCCTGGGTTGCAGGTTTGGTCTCCCACTGGGTCATGTACAACAGGCAACCTGTCAGTGTTTCTCTCCCTCTCTCTCCTCCTCCCTCCCATCCCGTCTCTAAAATCAATAAGGAAGTCCTTGAATGAGGATTAAAAAAAAAGAAGGGTGCTTTCCAAAACAACTTTCTTGCTTACACTTTTAAAGATGTTGTGGGAGGAAAGGTATTAAAAAAGGTCCCCAGTTAGGGTGTTAATCTGTATCAAAACAGACACTGCTAGGAATGTTTTCGTGGAATTCTGATAAGGCTGAAAGCAGAGCTTCAGTCAGCTCCTTGTAATTTAATAATTTCACAGTGATTTTTTTCTATATAAATGGCTTCAAAAAAGCACAAATAGTTGAACAACAATAGCTCTGTCATTTTCAAAATGTTCCTTGAGGTCAGAGCCTACAGGAAATGAGATTGAGGCTCGAAATTATTTTGAGCCAAACTAAATTTTAATAAAAATGGAAACTGATGGTCACAGCCATGATGTTTCTCTGGGCTTCTAATGTTAAACTAAATCCACAAGCTTTCTGACCACAGTAAACAGGAAGAATTTAAGATTCTGTGGGTCAGCAAAACCTTTGCAGCCATGGTTTAGCAGCTCAGGCCTCTGCAAATCATAAATATTATGGGTCATGCTCAGGATGATGGGCAGTTTTCTTGCAAACCATTCTCTTCCTAATGTGATTAGTTTTTTGGGGGGGAGGGAGCTTACTTCAAATCAGTTTAAATTTTTTCTTAAAAGATTGTATTTTTAAATGTTTCTGTCAGCTCTTTACACACTATGGTTTCTTCCTTATTTCCCCTTGCAGTATTCTCTCTCTTCGTCGGAAGAGGAAAGACTTATTTCCATCAGGAGACCTAACATGCCAACCTCAAGCGACTTCCCTGATCTTAATACTCAAACGAACTGGGCCAAGTCCCTTCCCTTGCCGACACCGGAGGAGAAGATGCGGCAGCACGCCCAAACTGTCCAGGCTGACGTGGTTCCTATTAACATCACCGGTATGCTGTGCTCTGCAGACACGGTTCAGAATGCACTCGGGAGAGTGACTGTGGCTTGTGGCGGTCGTGGGGGGTTGTGGTTTTATGGTCTTAGCATTTAATTTATACACCAGAGGTAAGGCCTGCGGGCTGGCATCCTGGTCTTTGTTGAATGAAGGGAATACTAAAACATATATGTATCTGTACATGTAAAATAGCTCTTGCTTTTAAATTAGAAGACTGTGTCACCAAAGGTTGATGTCGAAGAACTTGGTGGGCCAGCCATTCATGTAAAGTGTGTTTTTTTACCTTTTTTTTTTAAAAGAAAGGTTTTATTTACTTATTTTCAGAGAGGGGAAAGGAGAAAGAGAGGGAGAGAAACATCAATGTGTGGTTGCCTCTTGCATGCTCCCAAGTGGGGACCTGGCCTCCAACCCAGGCGTGTGATCCGACTGGGAATTAAACCTGTGACCTTTTGGTTCACCGGCCGGCACTCAATCCCCTGGGCCACACCAGCCAGGGCTCAAGTGTGTCTTTTTAAAATTGATTTGCTTTTTGCAAATATTTTGCTTATATGGGGCCATCTTTTAAATGTGACCTTGGTTAAGAAAAGGTGATGTTTATCTTCTAAAGGGTTATTTTAAGTAATACTTATAAAAGTAAAGAAATAACAACTTTGTGATATCTCTTAATGACAGATTTTATCTTCTCATTTTCTCAGGTTAAAAAAGGGAAAATTACTGGAAATAAAAATATCAAGTGAATTAACAATAACTGTAAAATATATTTTTAAGAAAACTCAATAGGATGGTAAAGTTACATTTTGATCTCTATAATTTGGATTCTACAGTCTTCAAGTAGAAGGTCATTTCTTCTAATATAACATTTTAGGATATGAGTATTAGTTGCCAGATGGAAAATTCAAGTTCTTTTAGAATATTATACTCAAGTTTTAATCATCTATGATAATTAAAGGTGACAAATAACAAGGTACATGAAACTCAAAGGTGGAATTTCACAAACTTAGACATGCTGTTAAAAAATATCAGTTTTTCTGTTTTGTCACTTTGGTAGCCTGCAGACAGGACAGGTCAGTGGTTTGGGGCATGTAAAACAGAGCAAAATAGATGCCTTAAAAGTTAATAGCTTCAGCCATTGTGGACTGTGTTTTTGCAAGAAACAGATTACTGAGCATCACTGTTGATAATCAGTCCATACAAGGCATGACCTGTGGAGCTAGAGCCTAAAAGAAATCAGGTGACCAGTAAGGATGAGTTTTCATGGAAAAAAAATACAATAAAGAATAAAGGAAATTTAAAAAATAAATAAAACAGCTGACTCTGTAAAATAAATAAATAGCAGCTCCCTGTCTGAAAAAAAGAAAACCCGAAGCACACTTGCCGTGCGTCTGAGGCTGCTGCTGCTGACTGCCGCTAGGAAGGTTTTGCCGTGGCATCAGTTAAGTTTTTAGGGGCTAATAATATTTTTGATAGTTTTTGGAGAATTTTTAAAAACCTTACAGGACATTTGAAAACTACATTTAGAACTCTATTTTTGAATTCCAGAGAAATTTAATAAATGAGTGCATGAATTATTTTAAATTGCATGTGCATTTTTCCACATTTATTGTGCTTATGCCTTAAGGGAGGACTGTCATGCCATTTTAGTCCATTTTCTCTGCAGATAACATCATTGATCTCTCAAATGTGATCCTTGTTCATCTAGATCATAATTTTCTAAAGATTATAAATAGCTATGTTTCAAAACAAAGTATAATGTTTATTGATCAATGAAATACATAGATGCCTATTTTCTATAAGAAAATGTATTACATTATTTGATGGGTTAAATGCAGCAGAAATGTAATTATATATGATTAAATGCCTCAGGAATAATATTATAAAAAGATTGTGCTACGAAACATGACAATCCTTAATATAATTAGGATAAAATGCATTATCATGCTGTTAGTAAATTTAAAACAGAGTAACTAGAATTTTAAGAGTAATGAATTATTTGCAACAATAAGGACATTGTCACAACTGTAGACAGTGTCCTGTCTTTGAACTTTTATTCTCCTCTGTTTGATGAGTTAATGAACATGAATTACACAAAGTTTAAAAGGAGGCCTCCAAAATGCTACTCAGGAAAGGTGAATGACAATAAACAAATGAGCAATATGAGTTATATCAAAACACAATTGATTTTTACTTGCGTGATTAATGTTTTTAGAAGTATAGAAATTAAATATAATACCTAATTACATATTTATTGATCCATTTTGTGGATACATGTATTCACATACACACATATAAATATTTCACGAAGGGAGTAGTTTTTCTAAGGGAGTAGGTATTAAAAAGCATTAAATGAAAAATTTTCACTTTTAGTGGTTGAATTTGACATAGGTTAGACATCTTCCTACTATTTAAATGACATTTTCTAAAACCTAGAAGACTTTTGAGATAGAAATGTAGCTGCTTGTAGGGAATTGTCACGTGCTCATTTATTGGGGTAAACATTGACCCTCTAGTTTGATTTTCAGTAAGTTTCAGCTGGGGCAAAAGTGCCGACAAATATTATTTTACATCCAAAGTGAAAGCCTGCCTGGCATAGAAGTAGAACATTAGCACAGTGAACTGCAAGTTTAAAAATTGATTTAATCCCTTTAATCATAGTTCTATGGGGACTCAGCATGTTCTAAATGTCACAGAGAAAAAAATGTTTAAAATAAAACACATATATAAGTATGTTCCACAATCTGCAATGTGGGATAACAACTCTTCCACCTGGAAGACAAGCATGAGTAAACATATTTAAACAGTTTCACAGCCTGGCTTTGTACTGATGTTTGAGCCAGCTACATATATTTCTAAGTAGTAACCGTGACTGACTTAACGCCACTTTTCAACAAAAGAGAATGATTCAATTCCTGTCAATTCCACCAGCTTTTACTGAGTAGCTACTTTGTGTCAGGCATTGAACCGGATGCCACAAGGGATGCTAAGTCCAGCAGGGGACACAGTCCTTTTAGGTCACAGGGCAAGTCGAAGAGTTTGGCCCCGATGGTGATGTCCATCCTCGTGATTTGCTTCTTGATTTCCTTGGAGCTTGAGGGGTTTGTCTTTTGTTTCTGTTTAGGAAACAAAACTGGAGCCTAAAAGCAACTATTAATGTTTTATTCATTCTTAATGCCTTGGGACAAGGAGACTTTTTCCCTCTGCTCCAGGGAACTCATGGACCACTGAAGTCGGGACCTGCCACCTACAAACACCATACGTAGATGCTATCGCACATGGTGACCCATTCACGACAGTGATGGCATCTTCAGGAGTTTTGGGTCTTCTCTCCATCATTTCTGTTTTCCCCCATTAGGAGCCAAGTTGCAAGCATTTTCAAGTTTGCGAGCATTTAAGTTTGCAAAATGTATTTTGATCAGTCAGGTCTTTTATCCTTTGTTTTGTTTACATAAGGTTCTATTTACAACTAATTCCTATTGAAATAGAAAGTACGTTATTCACAAACTACTCACTTTGAATGTGGGTCAATTGCTAAAAAGTGAATTTTTAAAAAAAATTTTCGTACAGCCCTAAGAATGATGGAAGTATGTAATTTGTGTGTATATATGTATTTTAACATCTCTTTTTGAGGAGATAACCTTTGGACAAGGTCAGTGCTAGAAAACTAATTAAACTGGCAAGTAATTTAAAGGAGACCAATCAAAAATTGACACTTTATTTTTTTTAACATTTTCCCACTGTGTGTCAATCACACAAGCTCACATGCTAGAACGAAAAGAAGTCGTCTGGGTCTGATATCTGGGGTTCAGCTGCAGCGTTACCTGAAGTGTCTGGATTCAGATCAGCTTTTACAAGGGATTCTGAAGTAAAGCAGCAGTTCAGCTTTAACAGCAGTGCTCCTGGGTCTCATTGTGATAAAAGTACTTTATCATTATAAGGCTTTTTATTTTTCATTATAATTTTATCTCACACCACAGCAGTTTCCACTGTCTATACAAATTGTTGGCCTCCTTGATTGGAAGAAAAAGCTCTTCAACTAAAAATTCCTGATTACTTGTTTCATCACATAGAACAAGACATTGTACTGGTCCCTGGAGTTGACTAAATGATTAAGATATATTTATTGCCCTCATCACACCCACGCTGACGTAAAGAGTGATTTTGGTGACCAGAGGACCTATGTGAAACGCTTCCAAAATGACTCATTTTTAAAATAATGCAGAATCACTCTTCTGGTGTGTTATTAACAAATTTGCATTTTCCACTCCAGCTCATTTGAAAATGAGATCCAGGTGCTTCCTTTGGAAAGACACACACATGGATATTGGAAAAGAGCCTTCTGATGATAATGTGCTTTCCTTCCCTTTTTTGCCCTTAAGCATTCATTTATCATCGTATGACTGGCTAACATCATTATTAATACCTTCTTATCATTTTACGACAAGCTTCTGGAAGAAAGTGCATGGTGTCAGCTTGCTTGAAAATAACATTGCTTTGCTTGTTCTACTGCTCTACATTAGGGGAGAATTTCGATCGCCAGGCCAGCCTTCGGCGGTCTCTAATTTACACAGACACTCTGGTAAGACGACCGAAGAAAGTCAAAAGGAGAAAGACTATTACAGGAGTCCCTGACAACATACAGAAGGAGCTAGGTATGGCTCATCAGAACTGTATTCTGTTGCCTCCCGTTGTTGTTCAGCATCCCTACGCTAACCTCATCTGTGGTGCTTATGAAATCGATACATTCTGATGGCCATTTGGTGCCCCAAAGGCCCAGCTTCTTTTCTGAATGAGGCACTGGGCACGAATCTTAACACCCCAAGCAGATGATGTATTGAATTTTGGTGAGAAGGTAAGAGGAGACGTTTCTGTGAAAACTCAGAGGGATGAAGGGATGGTAGAAATTCACAGTTATGTCATTATCTCTACGTGCCTTGAACAGTGGGGAATTTCCACAATTAAATTTACTTTCCATTTGGATTTTAAGTTTTCATAAAACTGAAAATTTATTCTAGAGTTTCAAGTTATGACCATGGACTTCATTAGTTATCCTGACAATATGGACGGCATTTGTCATCAAAGACACAGCAGTGTGGTATAACTAGTAAATACCAGCACAATAGCAAACAGTCATTTATGTTGGATAGTGCATTTATGTACTTCCAGTGAAAGCAACTTTATAGCTTTTTGAGTCAGTGTTTTTCAACCTGTGATAAAAACAGAAAACAAAAAAAATTTTTTTTTGGCTAGGGGAGAGGGTTGTTTGCTTCATCATTCACTTACCCATTTGTTCCTGCTTATCTTCATATAAACTGTGGATAATCTCTTCATTCTCCTCTTAAGGTCTTCACTTCCTCTCTCTGGTTTTTCATGGGCTCATCAGGAATGTCTGCAGAGGCAGCCGAGCAAAGTGGGTCAGGAGCAGGGGCTCGGGATCCAGGCTGCGTGGACTGGCCTCCTAGCGCTGCCACTAACTCTGGGGGACCGCCAGCTGGTTACTTCACCTGAGTCTACTTCCTCATTTAAGGGCGGGTGGTTTAGGATTTAATGAACTATTGCAGGTGAAGCACTTGGTACCTGGGACTCCTCGGAACATAACAGCAGCTATTGTAATTGTCGGAGGGAACTTAAACTGCCTTTCTTGAAATTTGTCTTCCTCTTCAGCTAACCTATGGCCTTCTTTCACTGTAGCTACTTCCACCTGACGTTTTTACTTTTATTTACAACTGAAAGTTATGCGCTAGGAATGCAGGATCCTTATTCCTGAACTTGCCTGTTAGTCTTTTAGGTAAAATGAGTTTACCCCAGCAATAGCAATATGCCTGTCCTAGCACTTTGAGGTCGCATTTCAGCTTCCAGGTGCTATAGACACTGTTCCTATGTGTTTTTTTCCAACACTCTGCTCACTGTTCTTTACCTGGCATTTCCTCCTTTACTGCCATTCAGTGCTACAGTATGTACGCTCCGCCTTCCGAACTGTCACCTGAGACAGGAAGAGCAATGCTCTGCTTCTGCTCCAGGTAGCTCCCGCGGCCCAGATGGCATGCAGGTGCTGTCTTATCCCGTGACGGGGGCTATTGCAAACAAAGGCAGGATAGCATCCGCAGGACTTGTGAAGTCTGTCTTTGGTTCATGCCCCCACACGCTGCTTTTTGTACTGGGCCAGCCCTCATGTCTCTCATTCTTTCAGACTCTTTCTTTTTTCCTTCTTTAGGCGACAGCTAACTAATTTGAGAAACTAATATGTACATGTATGTTCAGTAGCTGCTTAATGGGCTAATCTCTTCCAGCACCGAGGCGACATTTGTATTTGAACTGATCCTTTAGGAGGTGGCCTTAATCAAAAGGAGTGACTTTAAAGATAGGCCCTTTGTAAGATAACAAGGTTGATGTAACAAGGTAGGCTATGATTTAAGTGGTTTTCCAACCAAAATTGGCAGGTTTGGGGTGGCTTCGTGCAAATAGTGTAAGAATAGTTTGGCCCAGAGAAAGATACGTATCACATAAGTATTCAATATGAATTATCTGTACATGTTTGTAATATTAGTTCTAGGGCGTCTGCATTATGAACTTTTATCACTTACTACTGAGCCAAGCAGTATGGAGCCAATCACTGAGCTGTCTCTTTGACCTTGCTGCAATGTCCTGGCCAGCTTAGTAAATCATATCTTCTGTGATTTTAATATTTTTTAAGTGAATGTTTGAGCCCCTGGAGCTCATGCTTATTTCTCTTTGGCATGTGACATGGAACCGCTACTAAGGCTGGAGGAAAGAAAATAGCTTTTCCTATATCATCTGTGTTGTGATTGTTGCCAGATGTGAGACAGTTGATGTCATTGCACAATGACATGACCTGGATCACAGCTGGTGGTCAACTGAGACAGCTGTGTCAAAGTTAGAGCTTGTTTGAAAAAAGAAAAAGGACAATTAGGCAATGACTCTAGTTTATGGATAGACTAGTTGGAAGGATTGGTGGATAGAAGAAGGGAAAATAACATTAAATACTGTAAAATCTAGGGAAAAAATTTGATCATATTTTCCCTTCATTCATATTAGCACTTCAGGTTGACTTTTCTCCGAATATTTTTGTGCTTGTAAGTTATCTAGTTTGGAAACTTTGGGCTACCTAACAATTAAGCCAAAAATAGAAATGCGTCATATTATCTGCAAAAAGAAGACTTCTCTATATATATAGCGTAGAGTGGTATGGCTGAGTCAAAAAAATTAGATTTTGAAAAGGAAATGATTATCTAAAGGAAAAAACATTCATGAGATGTGCCCTGCCCAGTAAACACTGTCCAAGTTGCCAGGGATTTGGATTTTTTAAAATCTAACCAGATGTGTTTCCAGAATTAGACTTATATTATGCTTAATTATCTGCAGCTTTTACTTCAAAATCCCTAAATAGTAGAATCTAGAGACTAGCTAACATACAACAGTTTAAAATCAAAGTTATGATATGTTCTGTTTACTTCCAAAGTATAGTTGATGACTGATAATTTGTTTCCTTCCATTGAAATGAATCAGACAAAATTTTAATTTTTTAATTTTACTATCTTTAACATACATAGAAACATATTTGAACACCCTGTTGTGAGGTTTCACTTTTTTTTTTTAGAATCAGATAGGATTATTTTGTTGGTATGTAATTATATTTGGCTACTTCTGGAACTTATCCCAATACGTGTTTCCTAAACAGAAAAAGCTCCATTTAAAAGAATTCCCCTCTGAATAATTTTTGATAGTTTGTATAAAGGCTTGCATGACTTTTTAAAATTTATTTTTCAATTATAGTTGACATACAATAATATATTAGTTACAGGTGTTGAGAATTTTTTTAAAATCCTATATAAACCTTAAATAAACTAACTTTTAGATTTCTATCTATTTTTTCCATCTTAAAAAAAATCCTTAGCCGACGATATATTTATTAATTTGAGAGAGAGAGAGAACATTGATTGATTGCCTCCTGTAAGTGCCCTTACTGGGGATCGAACTTGCAACCTTTTGGTTATGGGACGATGCTCCAACCAACTGAGTCACCTGGCCAGGGCTAGATTTCTATCCTTGATTATGTGTTCTTTAAAAATGAAAATCCCCGTAGTATTATATAATAAGTAAAAGAAATATATGTAGAGATAATTATTTCTTTACATGATATTTTAAAGTTAGATAAATCCCATCAAAATTTTTAGCAGCATCTGAGTGGTTTAGATTTGTTTATAGTTCTCTTTTTGTAGTCTGTTTTTGTTCTTCAATTCTAATTAATATAGCATCTGTATCTGCAATAGTGCGACACTTTTTGTACTGTGAAAACATTGGAAGATCTGTTTTGAGAGTAGAATTTTGGTGGTCCCTGTGATAAATGATATCTGAGTTTTCCAATTTTTTAAAGGTCTTTAGAAAAACATTGTTATTTTAATAAGAAATTTGTACTGGTCTGTAGATGGTGAAAAAAATGGCCATATTCCCATTTTCAGAAGGCTGGAATGGTTTCACAGTCAAAATTGTTACCTAAAAGAATCAGGACATTGTTTATGGCCCTCAGAGACAGTTAAACATCTACCATGGACCCCTTGCAAAAACTACCACAATTTTGAAAGAAACAGATATTAAAACCCAGTGTCAAGTGAAATGAGGTATCTTGAATGTTTGGAATCAAACTGGTACAAGCTGATACAGCCATAAAGCCAGCCTCCCACCTTCTAAAGTACCAAATGGCAAAACATGTACCTTTTGTTTTTTCTTTCCTCAAAGTGGATTTTTCTTCTGCTCCTGCCCTTTTGCCTCCCTCCCCTCTTTCTGAGGGGGAACTTCATGTGTATATGTGTGTGTGTGTCTTTAGTGAATGGCCACTTGGCAGAGGGGCAGGGGAAGGAAATAGATCCTGTTGGGTAGAGAGACAAGTGCAGTGAGGGAGAGGGCTGGGTGCTGGGGCACCTCCCTCCCGGGGGGCCGTCTCCTTGCCGTTTGTACCAAGCACATTTCTTGCTATTGGGGTGAGCCCAAGGCTTTAGATGCAGTCAGGACTCTGCATGTGGTATGGAGGGAGGTCTCCCGCATCCCCTCCCCGCCAGCGTCTCCAGTGTCCTGGCCAGGTGCACGGCATCGCTGGTGGGCGCTCCACCAGAGTGGCTCAGCCACGCCATGCTAACTGTGGTTTTGCTACTAGTTATCGAGATTTCATTTGTCCTGCTGATTACTATGCATACAATGATTTTTTTTTTTTTCCCCTCTATACATTTTGAGTAAGTTCTTGCCTTCGTGGTTTTGTTTTTTGTCTTTTTGTTTTTTTAAGCCTCTGTTCTCTCTTAGGTAGGCTTGAAATCTGCTATCAACCCTTAAAGTGTTTTCTTATCCACTTCCCTCGCTGTTTGGCCTTCCTTGTGCTTTATTCTTTTTTAAACATGCTCTTCTTGGTTTAGTTGTAAAGCCCTAAGAAACGAATAACCCTAATTTGAGAAAAATCTTCACTGGATCAGTTCCTGCTGCTTTTTCCCCACCGGAACACAACAGATTGCTGTTGCATTTTGAATGTCACTGACAGACAGATGATAATGGCTTGAGATGGATAATGAAATGTTTGAAACACAGATGGGCCTGTAAATCATTCTTCTTCGTCTTAGGATTTCCTTCTGACATAGAAACTAATGTAATGAGCACGGTTTCATACCAGTATCCTTCATAAATGGTATCTTTGTAGCCCTATTATTGAACTCTTATGTGCGCCTCTCTTTTGGAAAGACAGTCCCTGCTTGACAGAATCTCTGTGCAGGCACCCGGTGGGTGACAGGCGACCTCGAAATCTTTCCTGAAAGGAGGTTATGTGAAAAGTAACCCTTCCGCAGAGCACTCAGCCTTGATCTCACAGAGAGTACCCGAGGGTTCCGTCTGCAGCACTTACTCGGTAGGAGGATTTGAAGACAAATTAAGAGAAGTACATGAAATTCATAGTAAGGGTTTTTATTTTTGGAGCTCTTGGTAACTATTTAAACTCTTACTTAGGTGCCTACAGGAGAAAAAAATTAGTTCAAATACAGAAGGGTTTTTTGTTGTTGTTGTTGTTGTTTGTTTTTTTTAAAGTCTGGCAGAGCCAGGAGGAGGTGAGGGTACAGGTGATGGACTCAGATACTGACTTTTAGGTAACAAGCCTCCTTCTGCTTCATCTCCAGCCTCGGGCCCCGGCCAGGATGACGGTGGGGGTCACGCAGTGTATACGCCAGACCACTACTCAACACTAGGAAGGCTCGACAGCCACCGGTCGGCTGGGCAACGCTCCGAAACCAGGGACTCCAGCTGCCAGACCGAGGAAGTCAGAGTTGTACCTCCCTCAATGAGAAGAATCCGGGCACAGAAGGGGCAAGGCATTGCTGCCCAGATGGGCCACTTCTCAGGCTCGTCTGGGAACATGTCTGTGCTGAGCGATTCTGCGGGCATCGTGTTCCCTTCCCGCCTCAGCCACGATGCCGGTTTCCACAGTCTCCCACGTGCCAGTGCGAGGGCCAGCATGCAGTCCCTCGAGCCCCAGCTCGGGGCCCTGGGCCCCGCAGAAGACCTGGATGGCGTGTTCCCCTACCAGAGGGCCAGCCTCCAAGCAGACGAAAACTTAGGGCGGTTAGGGGGCGCCTCGAGGAACGGAACCCTTCTGAGGCCCCAGTCCCAGGAGCTGAGGCACTTTGAGAGTGAGAACAGAACAGGCCCAGCGTGTGTGGTGTCCCCTCACGGGACCTACTCCACCAGCATCATCCCCAATGCCACCCTCTCCTCCTCGTCGGAGGTTATTGTTATCCACACCGCTCAGAGTTCCGGGCAGCTGGACAGTAAAATGACCAGCTCCTTGTCATACACAAAGATGAAATCCAGGGACCGCCTCCTCCCCAGGCACTCTGGTAAAGACGACCGCCAGTCTCCCAGCGGGCACTGGAGTGAGGGTCACTGCACCCTTGTTCCCCAGGCTTCGCATCCCCATTCCCCCAGGAGAGCCCCGCTCCTGCCCCTCTGCGATCCCGCAGTCTCTCTCCATACCCCAGTGAACCAGGAGAACGGGCCCCAAGCCATGGCCTGTAACGGTAGAAAGAACGCGAGCCTCCCAGCACCCCCCCAGGATGTGGATGGCAAGAGTGAGTCCAGTTATTCAGGAGGAAGGGGGCATGGCAGCCTGGAGCCCTGGGAATACGGTGCCTCAGGGAGTGGGCGGGCGTCCCCACTGAAGCCCCACCTGGCCAGTCCTGGTTGCTCCACTCCTCTAAGTAACATGAGCAGCTGCAGCTTGGACCAGACGTCCAACAAAGACGACGCCAGGTCCCTGTACTCAGAGGACCATGATGGCTACTACACATCTATGCACCCCGATGCTGGACACGGGTCTGGGAGTCTGTGCAGTAGCAGCAATGGCTTTGGGAACCCCCGGCACAGCGTGGTCAATGTTTTCGAAGGTAGAAGTCAGAAGAACCAAGGGGACCCGTCAAATTTCCATGAGAAATCCCTTTCTCGAAACATCTCTTTAAAGAAGGCAAAGAAGCCGCCTCTGCCACCCTCTAGGACAGACTCCCTGCGCAGGCTCCCCAAGAAGAACGCCCAGACCAACGGGCAGGTGCTCAACGAGAGCCTGATCGCCTCACTCCAGCACTCGCTGCAGCTGAACCTCCCGGGCAAGGCCGGCCTGTCGCCCTCGCAGAGCCCCTGCAGTGACCTGGAAGAGCCCTGGCTGCCCCGCTCCCGCAGCCAGAGCACAGTGAGCGCAGGCAGCAGCATGACGTCTGCCACCACGCCCAACGTCTACTCCCTGTGCGGGGTCACCCCGTCACAGAGTGACACGAGCAGCGTCAAGTCCGAGTACACGGACCCTTGGGGCTACTACATTGACTACACGGGCCTGCAAGAAGACCCTGGGAGCTCCGGCGGGGGCTGTTCGGCCTGCAGTGGGACGCCAACCGGCCATGGGCCAGCCCGCCCTGTCCAGGAGGGCTCCAGGGCCACCATGCCCCAAGTGCCCGGTGGCTCTGTCAAACCAAAGATCACATCGCCGGAGAAGTCACATCGAGTCACTTCTCCATCCAGTGGGTATTCCAGCCAGTCGAATACACCCACAACACTCACCCCTGTGCCTGTGTTTTTAAAATCAATGTCACCAGCCAATGGGAAGGGAAAGACCAAGCCCAAGGTGCCAGAGAGGAAGTCCTCGCTGGTGTCTTCGGTATCCATCTCCTCGTCATCCACGTCCCTTTCTTCTAATACGTCTACGGAAGGAAGCGGAACCATGAAGAAGCTGGACCCAGTGCCGGCCTCTCTCCCTGCTGCTCCTCCTCTCCCGACTCTTCAGCCTCCTTGTCCTGCCGACAAGTCTCCTTTTCTCCCCCCTCCCCCGCCTTTAGCAAATTCCCCCGAGGGCTCTCCTCTGCCTCCGTCCCCCCTTTTCCCCCCTCCCCCACCCGAAGTTCTTCTTCCCTTCTGCCCTCCTCCTCCTCCTGACATGTGCTTCTCTCCTCCCCCCACAGCAGGTAGCCCCCCTCTGGGTCCTGCCCCTGTGCTGTCCCCTCCCCAGTCTTCGCCCTCCTTGGTTCCCCCTCCTGCCCCACCCCTGGACCCCAACTTGATGAAGGACGCTAGGCCTTCTTTCCAAAAGCCTAGCCAGCCGGACCCCCCCCAGGAGGCCTTCCGGCAGCCCGGGGCCAAGGAGGAGGGCGGCAGGCGCCCCATGCCCCTGGTAACCACGGAAGCATTGCAGATGGTGCAGTTGAGGCCAGTGAGGAGGAACTCGGGAACCGAGGGAGCGCTCTTTCATGAACAAGCTTCTCAGGAAAAAAGAACTCCAGTTGTGCCCCAGTATCATTTAAAGCCATCTGCTCTCCTGAAATCCCGAAATAGCATAAATGAAACGGAGAGTGAAAGCCAGTCCGCCTCCGGGACAAGCTCGCTGCTGACTCCCGCCAAGACCATGAGTCAGGGTCACCGGGACTGTGCGGCCGAGCGCGGCCACGGCCCAGGCGGTGCTGGGGAGGCAGGGGCCGGGCCGGGGCCGGGGCAGGCCCCGCAGCAGACGGCCCCCGGGCCTTCACCCAGCAGGAAGCCGCCCCCCATTTCCAAGAAGCCCAAACTGTTCCTGGTGGTGCCACCTCCGCAGAGAGATTTCACAGCGGAGCCAGCAGGGAACGTGAGCGAAGCAGCGCCCGGCCCCACGAAGGCAGAGGCCAAAGAGAGTTGTGCCGCCGGGGCTGGTGCTGATGAGACCGACTCCGGCAACTCGGTTCTTGAGGGCGGAGCTGCAGGATCCACGTCCCCAGGCAGAGTGGAAGCCAATGTCCCCATGGTGCAGCCCGAAGCCTCGCCAGCCGTCGCCAAGCAGGAGGAGCCAGACACCGAGAACAGCGGGGACAGTGAGGAGAGCTGCCTGCCTGCGCAGGACCCCGGGCGTGAGTCTGATTTGCTCTCTCATTCCCCTCGACCCTATCTATGCAGCTGAGGCAAATAGGGCTGGTGCATGTTCACGTTAAAGCCAGCAGTCTGTGGGTTGCCTGCGCTGCCTTCTGCTTAGGTTACCAACTTGGCATTGTATGAAATTTTTTTTTAAAAAAAATCCAGATCTAAGGGTAGAGCTTATAGAAGGGCAGAATATAGCGGGGTGGGGGCGTGGTCTGCAGCCGGCTGGGTATTAAATAGCAATGAGTTATCTCCCTTCTGGAGAGCTGCAAAGAAATGTTACAACACAATTTAAGAGCTTCATTAGGAGTTCCCAGACTTGAACAGAAAAGAATGAGCTTGGGCTATCATGCTCCCCGATCTTCGTAAAATATCAAACTACAGACGCTACTGCCTGTCCCTCTGGGTCTCACATTGTCAGGAATGACAGGGAAGACTTGGGAGCTTGGCTGAAGACTGAAATTCAAGTCACTTGTGAAGTCTTGTGTTTGCTTGCTTGCTTGCTTCTCCGTAGCGGGGGTTCCGGAGACCGACGCAGCCATCTCTTCCTCAGAGGACTTCCCGAAGGAAGAAGGGAGCGATGAGGCGATGACCCCCAGTAGACCCCGGACCACGGAAGACCTCTTTGCAGCTATTCACAGGTATCCAAAACGCCTCATATTTCCAACTGCTTTCTGAGTCCCCCTTTCCAGACGGTTCCTCCATTTATTTTTCTTTGAAGCTTCCTCTGTTGCCCAGTGAAGTTTCATTAACTTGATTATATTGATCTCTTCTAGTGTGTTTCTATATTTTTATGTCCTCTGACTCCCGGTTTCTGTTTTACTTTGTTCTACTGATTTTTATAAAGACGTTGGGAGCAGAAGCTCAGTGCAGTGCCCCCTGGTTGGCACTGCTCTTGTTGGTGAGAAATGCCATGTGTCCGTCATTGTAACTGGGTATTTCAGAGTCGGGTTAGAGCAGCCACGGTCCACTCCAGGGAGAGAATGCTGTGTTCTGTGGATGCATAGACTAGCTCTACAGGAGAAGACCTTTCCTAAGGGTGTATTATTAGTAGTAGTATTATTTTACAGAAAAACCAGGATGTTATAATGTAATTTCTTTGGCTACTTAAATGTTTCAATAACAGAGTACATCTTTTTTAAGCAGGAGCAAAGGAGTTAACTCTGCTTGTTACTGTATGCTGCTAGTGCCACCTACTGGCATTAGAGGTTATTGGTGTAAAGCAATAAAGAGGAAAATTTTCAAGATACCTGCCAGTGAACTGATACACTCTTCACATGTGGCCAGTGAACTGATACACTTTTTACATGGGATCACGTTGAATGAATAGGATTGAACACTAAAGTTTTATTTATTGCCTCACTTTTTTTCTGGTTGTAAATAGCCATGTATCCTCACAACAGTGACATTGTAAAAATGGATGAGATTGTACACGTGTATTTTCTATACAAAACCTTTGCTTCCTTCTAGACGTCTTTACCACAGTATTTTCAGATGACACTTACAGGTGCCCTTATACTTCCAGAGCCTTCTATTGCCCGGAATCAAGGTCCCCTTTCTCCTCTCCTGAAACAGAAAATCTTGCAAAATCATTTGACTGTGTAAATAACCTTGTGTCGTGACTGTTTTCCCAATTCTTGGAATATAACAAAAACTATTGCGTGACATGAAAGGCATAGGGCTGTCCCTACCTGAAATTCCTCCTGCTGCAAAAACACCTGACTTGGGAGGGAAAAACCAAGCTGGCGGATTAAGGTGTTTGTGAGGATTGCATTTTTTTACCTCTTAGCTCTGGTATTCATATAATATCCCAAAAGACCCAAAATACTGCCCCTTTAACATTGTCTGACTGTTTTCTTTGATCTCAGTAGGAATGAAAAGGTAGCTACTTAATCAAACTATTTCTCTAAGCAGGGAAACAAAAAATGCGGCATCCTTTGGAACCAACTTCAGTGGCATTTCTAGATGTTTACACAGCTGTTTCTAAGTCTAAGCATTCTAGACAGAAAAGCACTCAATAAATATTTTCAGAATTAAATGAAACCAATTGATATTTAACTGTTCAGAAATTCTTTCAAGTCTCGACATCTTCCATTTAGTATGGAATGCACTGGATTGCTAAATATGCAGGCGTATATTTTTATAATAGCAGTCCGCAGAGGAGATGTGTTGCCTGGTTGGTCTGTGTACGAAACACTTGGTCTCAGTGAGAAACCCAACTGTCGTGGGCCCAAATTACTACATGCTTTTCCTAAAAATATGCCCAAGATCTCTTCTATAGTTTATTTTAGCAACCTTCTTAAGGCACTGAAAAATTTGTGGTTTCTCTTACTAGAGAATCATATCTAGTGCATAATTATAATTATATCTACAGCAGATGCAGAAATCGGCCAGTCTGTATTATTCTGTGTACGCATGGTAGCAGCAAAGGCTGAGTAGGATAGGCGTGTAAAGGGAGAGCAAGGAGACGTGCTAGTTTTAATTTTAGCACTCATCATATTAGCAGACATAATAAAAATCCACCTAAAGTTTTTGATTTTTAGGGCTTTATTTTATATCCCCTTCAGTACCTAAGCTAATAATTTAAAATAAAGAATATCTAAATAGAAACAGAGCTTTCAAGTTTTATAATGCAAATTAATTCATTTCAGATTCAAAGCCAGATGGAAAATGTAGAACACCAGTTGAGGTGTGAAATTTTTATATTTATTGAAGTAATTAGTTTTGAAGCCAGAGTTAACTGTTTAAGCCCTTTTTACGGCCGTCTTTTTTAAACACACACACAATATATGTGTGTACACACATACACACACACATGCAAAGAATTCAAATGTTTAGATTTACTTCTCATTTTAGGGGCAGCTGTTCTTGAAAAACAATAATACTTTTATAAATTTCCATCCCTTCTCTTAATTCTAAATCCACAATAAAAGGCCATGGCTTTGATCAGGCATAGCTGTGGCTTGCTGCATGGCTCTCAGCGTACCTTCTTCATTGAAAAACCAAACAAAAAATTATATCACAAACCAGTACCTGCGAAGATAAGATAAGCAACCTGTATAAGTTGTGAAGCCCTGTGCTACAAATGGAAAAATGCTCCGTCAGGTCCTAGTTCTTGTATTCAGCTGTGTGACTTCAGTCTTTAGACTTCAGGTACCCTCTCTGGCCAGATCGGCCCATCTGAAGTCTTTTCCAACTCCAGAATTCTGAGATGTCATTATGTCAGTGGTTTCTGTCAGTCACTCATTAGCGTACTCGACAGCACTGCTTTTACTGACAGCTGGGCGGGACCATGGGACCAAAATATCATAGGCCAGGCTCTGTATTCCGGAAGGGGCTGGTGCCACGTCAGGCCTGGCCACCCTTCAGCCCCTGAATTTGGGTCCTTACTTTCTCTCTTTTGGCTCTTGGTGGCTTGTTTTTGGCCAGCAGCACAGAGGGGTCCCTGGGGGCACCATGGCCCACTGTGCCCTGCACTCTGCTCTGTCAGCACGTAAAAACTGCACTGAAGCCTGGCCTGGTGGCGCAAAAGATTATTCAGCACCTGCCCTGTGCCTGGCAGAGCAAGGACGCAGTGGCAGTGCGGCGGAACCCAGGTCCACGTGACTCCAGGGTTCTGGGTCACGTGGAATGCTCACGAGCCTGTGAGGCTGAGGTCATTATCACCATTGACAAGTATGAAAACTGAGGTGTGGTGCAGATGAGTAATGGGCCCAAGGTCACACAGCTCCAAGCTGCAGTGCCCGGATTCGACTCTTAATCTGTGTGTACAGACAGCATCCTCTCAGCCTTTCCCTGCTGCGTAGTCTAGAATTTTATAGCAGGAAAAGAGACGTACCCACACCTTTATTTTATCAAATGTGCTGAGTCCTTAAAGCAAGTCCACCTGTGCTTTGCTAAGGGCAGCCCTGCACACTGAGTTGCTGTTATGAAAAGACCAGCAAGGGGCCACTTGGCTTGTCTGCTTTATTATCTCTGGTTCGCTCTCAGCAGAAAGCACATTGAACAGGGAGGTTCTTAGGGACTGAGGACAAGAAATGCCCTCCGGGAAGCATTTTACTTTCCCTGAAGGCCCCTCCTCTTTCATTCTGTACCCATATCCCTCATATTTTCTTGATCAACTAGAGGGTCTTGGACGTCAGTCAGGAATCAAGACCTGCCGTGGAAGGCGCGCTTTTGTGCTCTGGACCGTTGGGCTTCTAGGGGTTGGCAGGTGGCCCAGCAAGAGCCGAGGAAGATTGGTTTTATGTCACACTCTTCCAGAATTGTTCTAGAACCTGGCTGGGGGCCTGTCTCAGTAGAGGGGCTATTCCGGGAGTTGGCTTATCTGTGAGGCCCATTCAGTGGCAGCACCAAACCAGAAAAAGGAAAAGGAGAAAGAAAGGATGGCCGGCACGTGGAAGCCCAGGACTGGTCCACCATAGGAGAGTTAAATAAAAATGGCAGGTACTAAAAACTTTAGAAATGGCCCTAGCCAAACTAAGTTAATCTGGTGACTGAGATTTGTTTCACAATAATCCAGCGAGGTGTGGACTTTAAAGAAGAATGGCCCTAACTTAGTTACAGCTGAGTCCCGGGCACACATGGTAATGCAATGAACTATTTTTGCATGACTGTTTGGAGGTTACATAGCAAAAATAACACACCGTGACCTGAATGTGCAATGAGACAAGCAGGGTGGCTGGGCCAAAGTCCAGTGGCCCCTTGAGAATTAACCTTTATCTTAATGTTGCTAAATCTCAGATCCAAGAGGAAAGTCCTCGGCCGTAAGGATTCAGATGACGATCACGCCCGAAACCATTCTCCCTCCCCACCAGTGACACCCACCAGTGCTGCCCCCAGCCTGGCCTCCCCAAAGCAAGTGGGATCGATTCAGAGAAGTGTCCGTAAGAGCAGCACCAGCAGTGACAACTTCAAAGCTCTGCTGCTGAAAAAGGGGAGTCGGTCAGACACCAGTGCCCGCATGTCCGCCGCTGAGATGCTCAAGAACACGGACCCCAGATTCCAGAGGTCAAGGTCGGAGCCTTCGCCAGACACTCCCGACAGCCCATCCAGCTGTTCCCCAAACAAGAACAGAAGGGCCCAGGAGGAATGGGCTAAGAACGAAGGCTTGATGCCTCGGAGTCTGTCCTTTTCTGGCCCCAGGTATGGCCGCAGTCGAACCCCGCCCTCTGCAGCCAGCAGCAGGTACAGCATGCGGAACCGAATCCAGAGCAGCCCCATGACCGTCATCTCGGAAGGCGAAGGCGAAGCCTTGGAGCCTGTAGACAGCAGGGCGCGCCGTGCCCTGGGCGCTGCAAGGGGGTGTTCCCTGGATGGGCTGGCGGGGGATGCACTGGACGAGGGCAGCCTGCTCTGTGGTGGGGAGCCCGCCGCCTTGCTGCGGGCACAGGCCGCCGGCCCCGCAGATGGGACAGCCAGTGCCGAGGGCAGGGGTCCATCAGCACTGTGTGGCGGTCCTCCGAGGGAAGAGAGTTAGGGGCAAGAATGTAGTCCCCCAGGTGACGTGGGGGAGATGCCCAACACATGGCTCTAGGAAGCTGGAGGGGGACCCTTCGCTGCCTGCCCGTGGAGCCGGGCACTGCCGCGCCTACAATGGATGAGGGTTATTTAGGACTCACTTGGCACTTGCCCTGTGGCTAAAAGCAAGTAGAAGCTTAACTTCTGAAAGTGCTTCCTGGGGAAGACTTTTTTTCCTAAATGCTGGGGTGGGGTGGGGGGGAGGCAGTGAACAGGGGTGGGTGTGTGTGTGTGTGTGTGTGTTTTGAACATTTTTTATGTTAAAAAATATACACACACACAAATAACATGTACAGATATATGAGGAAAGAAGACAGAGTTAAGCTAGGTAGAGTATTGGATGCTTCTGGACTAGGAGATCATCGCTTTAACCATGAGTCTATGGAAACGAGTGTGTTCCAGAAGAAAGGAGACGACCATTACGTTTAAGACAGAGCGGGTAGCTTTGCTGGTTCTGAGTGCACAGAACACGTGGGTATATGCACAGGTGTGCTTTCATGGTAAACCCAAAAGGTTGGGAAAGGGCGAAGTGACTAATTGGTTCAGGTACTTTTTTCTGGGGGAGGAAAAAAAGACTTTGTTTCTTTTTTGTAAAAATGACAAGCATGTGGACCTGGTGAGACTGTAACTTGGAGCCTGCTGCTGTGCAGCCACAGACATGCAACGTGTAGCCCGAGTTTTGGAAGTTGGGTGATTTCTTCCATGGAATTCCTCCTGGAGTGGCAAGGGCCTCTGAGAACAGAAAGGAGGGTGTGCACATTCAGAGAGGGTGGGAGCGAGGAAGAGGCAGAGGAGGAGGCGATACACTGCTGGGATTTGTTTCCTGCTTAGTAAAGAAAATTATTTTTCAGAACTAAATTTGAAAACTTGCACTATAGAACTGTGGGTGGAGCGTTTCCTTTTACAACTTTTTTTTTTCCTACCAGAGTTTAAACTTCCATTTGGCAATTTCTTATCACTTGAAATGTCAACATTTGCTAACTTTTGGATATTCTTTTGGTTACACCAAAGAAAAAGTTATGGCTATTTTTCCTTGAACTGCCTGCAGGATCATGTCTTCACTGAGAAAGTTTTATCAAAATCTATTATATATTATCTTACTTTGACGAAAATGCTGAATAGCTCTTGTTAGTTTAATAAACTGATAAAAACTGGCAGGGCTTGGCTATGAATTAGCCCTGGGAAATGAGTTTTTAGATTAAAAAGATTTTTTGCATCATTTGGTTTGTGCGTTTTTATATTTTTTATAAATAATTGAGTTAGGTAATTACCTTCTAATCTTCTTTGGTTAGAATGTTAACACTTTTAGACATGGGGAAAAGTGTGTAAAGTATTTATTTTTATGTCATATTCTTGCAGCCCCTTCCCCCACTCCCTCCCCACTGACATGTCCTTGATTTATTGGTGAATAAAATCAGAGTCTTGTCTTCGAAGGACCTAAGGTGGCGACACTGAGGTTCTCAGATTACATACAAGGCGGCTGCCTGTTGCGATCTTTTCTGGTATGAAAATCTCATCTAAAAGCCGGACTGCTCAGGCCATATCATCATAAGGTTTGTACCATAAAACTTCAGGTACCCGTTCTAGACACGTCTTGGAGACAAGAAACAAATCTAAAGAATTAAGGCTCCTTCCATTCTCTGAAGAAAACAAAACACTTCTTTTCGCACAACCAGAGATCAAGACCTAACATTTGGCCGAAAGCGAAGGACTCTTTTTTCACTTTTTTGGAGCAATTGTCTACTATATTGGGAACAAGGATATTTTTTCTTCTAAATTTTAGAAAAGTGGTGTCAGCTTTTGAATATGAAATCTCATAGCTACCTAGAAAAGATTAGAATTTCCCTGGCTATCAGAAAACTTTATCGTAATGTACATTACGTAATTATATATGTTGAAGGGAAAATAAGCAACATCAAAACTAATGATAAAACTATTTTTTAAAAAGCCCATTTTTAAAGGAAAAAATATATTAGGTTTTTCAATTTGCTTTGAATAAAAACAACTGTAAAGTAAAATGTTTGTGCGTTCTTGCTTTTTATGTGTACATGCACTTCTGAAAAATGAGATAGGCCACCTTGGACAAAACTGTTGCATGCTTTGCTGGATACAAGCAGAACAGCGCTGAAGACCGGGAAGTGCTGTGGGAGGTGGGGCCCCAGAGAGCAGGTAGATCATGGGCGCTGAGGACAGTGCCGTCTAAGAGGACATACGGGAAAGCAACTCTAAATAATGCCCTGTAGACTTTCAAGTAAAATACAAATAATGTCTTGACGGATAGTTCAGATGATGTCATGTGGAGAGATGCAGGAATTTTTCCCAGGCATAGATGAAGTAGAGGGAAACAAGAACATAGACTCATTCCTGAATCATTCGGCACCTTTAGCTTTGTTGCTTTATTCCCCTGCGGGGGGCTCGCTGCTATTAACAGATCATATGATATTTAAACACTCAATGAGGATAGACTTGATGACCCTTCCTTATAACCAGAGACTGTAAGTGCCAGATAGTCGTAGACAGCAGCCCCAGGCCTAAGTGATTTCCACTTCAGTTTTTCAAGAAGTTGTGCGGGAAACATGTCCATTTGGTCTGTCTAATGGAAGAAGCCTCAACTTTGGTCTGATTTCTGCCCTCCTATTTCTGAAGAATATTGACAAACCATTGCTTCTCTTGTGGGGATGAGTATATATGTTTGGAGAATCACAATAACAAGGGGGAAAAAAGGTGGTGGTTTGTATTTCTCTCTTATTCCCCACTCACCAGCACCACACACAGCTCTGGTGGGGATCTCAGGGGACAGGTGAAGCTCAGAGTCGGCATCATTTGTTCTGTCTTAATGTGTCCTTAGTACATTAAATGAATGTGAATAATTATTTATATTGCTGAGATTCTGTCATGAAATGAGCAGGATAATTTACTTCGGCAGATATTAGGATATTTTTTGGGAAAGGTGCTTTCAAGTAAAACGTGGACGTGATCCTTGAGGTCTGTTTTTCTGTAATAAGCCATTCACTTACTATGATATAGCTGCTTTCAATGAGCTGCTTTAATCAACCTTCCACACAGGCCAGCCTCTATTCACAGAACAAGGGCTAGAGCAATCTGTAGTCATTTGTTCAGCAATGGGGTGGGGGGGACAACTCTCTATTATATACTTCTCATGTCCTAGGTTAGGATGAGAGAGTTCTTAGATCAAAAAACGTGGATGAGATATCATTAAGGAACTTCAAACCTAGTGAAAAGACACACAAACAATGACTTATCTGGTAAAACATATCAGTGTCAGAGAAGAGGAAAAGGAAGAACATTCTGGGCAAACCCTGGGGGGCTGGGACCCACCCGACATGTGCTTTCTTTACCAGCAGAACACCTGGAACAGGTTCAGGCCGGCGATGCACCCAAACCAAACTCTAGACCTTTCTCCCCACTCCCGCTGGGAAAGTTGCTTTCTTCCTGTAGGTGCCTTTCCTTCTCTGTGGCTTCCTGCCCCACTTTCTCCCCAGAATGATGGGAGGCCAGAGGAGGAACTGTGCTCTTGTAGCCTTCGAAGGATCAAGAAGGGTGGAAGCCTCACGGTGTGGAAGGCAGGGGACAAAGGAGCCCTGTCCACGGAGAACAGCTAGAGGCGCTGCACCGGCTGCGGGCTGTCCGCCTCCAGACTGGCCGGTACGTCGCTTTTCACGGACTTTGCAGTCACGTGGTACGGTTCTCAGGGGGGCTGGCACTGCCTCTGACTCGGTCCACAGGGGCGGCCGTGGCTGTGGGGAACCTGAGCTAAGACTTTGCTTGGTTTCACCAAGCACAGGACAGCTGGCGGAAGAAAGTCATCCCAGATGGAGGAAGAGCATGAGCTAGGGTAGAGGGGCAAAGTGATTAGAGGAAGCCAAATAGCTGAAGTTTCTAGTAAAAACATAGTGAGGCAGGAGACTGGAATGGTCTCCGGGAGCAAGAACGTGGAGGGCCTGGGGTGTCATTCTGGAAAGCTGGGGTTTTGTTTTATATTACTGGGAAATCGCGAGGGTTTTTAAGAAGGCGAATGATGTGACTTGGCGGGGTCCTTGCCTTCTTTACAAGCTACACTCTCCCTTGGTGACTACATCTAATCCTACAGCATTAAATAAATATGGTATGTACTAGTAACTCCTGAGTATCTCCTCTCCTTACTTCTGCCATGAACTCCAGGTTAGTATATCAACTGCCTGCTCAGAGCCTGCATCTAGAGGTGTTTTAACAATATATTTAAGCCCTCCTTCTCCCCAAGTCTTCACGTTATCAATGAATGGCATTACCATTCACAAGTGGCTCAGGCCCAAAATCTACACTCCATCTGCAGCCTCTTTTTCACCCCGTATCTACACCATAAGCAAGTCGTGCCAACATATAGCTAAAATATTTCCCAGGTCCAATCACTTCTCACCAGTTTCACTTCTCATCAGGTCCAAACTGTCATCTCCTGACCAGAGTATTGCAAAGCCTCCCAGTTGACCTCCTTTCTACTGTGTGTCTTCAACTACTCTCAATTCACCCTCCAAAATAAGCTTTTCAAAGCAATTCATAGCACTCCCCTGCTTGAATCCTTTGGAACAGGGTTCTAACTCCTTACTGTGGCCCATAAGGCCTTTAAGACCTGCCTCTGGTCCCCTCACTCTAAAGACTGGGCCTCGTTCTCTTTTCTGTCCCTTATTAGAAGCTACTTCCTGCCTCAGAGCCTTTATTTTAATGCAGAAAAATTCCTGTATTTTTATGCCTGATTCATCTCCTCAGGAAGTAGGCCCAGGCAGGATCGTCAAAGGTTTTGCTGGAGTGTGACACCCTTGAAAGGAAAAGGGAGGAAGGAGCCAGGGAGCGCTATCAGATTGCGGTCCTGAGCCTACCTGTCTGCCGCTGTGACAGGGAACCCTGGGGAAAGACCCCTTATTGGAGGAGGCCTGTGTTGGACAGGAGCAGCCGGGCCCTTTACCACTGCCTTGTTTGGTCTTTGTCAAGAGGTTGACCTGAGAAGAATGTGCCCTCAAATTTGCACAGCTTAGTGAGACCACTGGCCACTTTGAGAATAGCGTGAGCTCGGCCGGAATGCTCAGGCGGGCCCTGATGAAGCCACCAGGTGGATGCTGTGAGCTAACCGCCCTTCTTGCAGCTGGGCAGTTAGCTGGCAAGTCCTTTTTTGAAGGGGGATCTAAGTGGCACATCTCAAAGCCTGTCCCAGGCCACCCCTAGTACCATGTAGACCCACTTCCCCTGCAAATCCTGCCAGGGCTCTGGTGGACCGCTGTCCCTGAGATTAAATTTATAAAGCTGTTTATAAATTTATAAACAGTTTGCGGGGGGCCATGTACGGCACCTTCCTGCCATCCGTTGGTGGGCTCCAGGCCACCAGTGGTGCTCACTGTCCCCCTCCCTCACTCCAACCTTTCACCCTCCGCTGTCACCTCTGCTGGTCTTGGTGGCTTTCCTGATGGTGTGAACCGAGCTTATTCCCAGGCGTCCAGAAATCCTGGCGGTCCCACCTTTCTCAGACCGAGGTTGCAGCCCATGGCCATTCACAGTTAAAATTCAGCCAGGGGTGCCCCGACGGGGGGCGCCCTGAGCCCCTCACATCATGTGACGGCAGGCTTGGCCCTCTTGCAGTTCAGGGTTGGTTATCGCTGGTGTTATGGCGACTCTTCTTACCGGCTAATCCCTGGATACAAGGAGACCAAAGTGCTCAAGGGAGAGCAGTAGGCTCAATTTCAATGGAACTTTGCTATGTTGCCTAGGGAAGGTTTACAACTTTAAACCGAGGGCCTCTGGCTCTACAGAGCCCAGAGCTGTGGGGTGGAAGATCCTACATCCTTTAGTGGTTCATTGGGAATGATGGTAAATGGAGTCACTCCTCCTCCTACCCCTTGTTTCCCAGATGTCCTTCCTATTGAGGACATAGCATGATACAGGGTCTCTGATTACTGTGTCCAGAAGAGGGCGCTCCATCTTGAGAGGGTATTGTCTCCAACCAGGCATTAAAGCAGACCATTTCAATGTTCTATCAGGCCAGCAGGTTCCAGGTGGTACAGTAAGTGAGAGGACCAGTGGACCCCATGGCCATGAGCCCACTCTTCCTGATTGGACATTATGATGTGTAGATCATACATTCAGTGAATCCACGCCAGCAGATCAGAGATTTTGCAAGTCTCTAGATTGTGGTGCTGGTCAAGGCCCCGTAAGCAGGAGAGAAAACTGCATACCTAGAATAGGTGTCTACCCTTGTGCAAATAAACTCCTGACTCTTACAGGAAAGAATGGACCTAATGGAGTCAATTTGGCATTGAATGACTAGTTGGTCTTCTTACAGCCTCACCAGGGTTTCAGCGTTGGTGTCTATTGCTGGCAGGTTGGACTTTCAAAGCTAGCAGTGTCTAGGTTGGCCTTGGTAAGTGGGAGTCCATGTTGTTGGGGGACCGTGCATAACCTCCCTCTTGGCCACCACTGCCATTACACTTGTGTGCACACTGTACCAGCCCTGGGTGGGGACCACGAGAGCAAACACCAACAGGCTAAGTCATTCTGCCCACTTATTTAGTGTTTCTTCTGGTAGATGTTTCTGGGGCACATTAACATGTGATACAGTGTTTTTCAGGCTCTATGTCTGCTCCCATAAATCCATTCACATGCCTCTAACCCAAGGCCTTCTTGCCTCAATCATTCACTCTTTTTCTTTTCTCAATTTGTTCCAAACTCCTGGCCAGTTGGCCAGGCCATTTGGTGGTGTCATAATTCCCTATACAGGGTTGGACACAAATAATGCCCATTTTTTATTACAAACTCTTTTATTACAAAATCATAAGCATGTAATTCTGTAACATAACATAACAATAAGCATACCATATGACAGTTTAGGTGAAATGTTAAAATTAAAACTATATTACACCCGTGTCATTACTCTACCAACCACACTCAGGCAGGCCTTACATCTGCTAGACCCTGTGTATTTTACCTTCCTACCCTTACATACTGGATGATCAGGTCCATGGCCAGAAATTGTGCCCCTCTTTTGTAGAAAGATTGAAGTTTTTTTTTCTTGCAGCTGTCTTTCAGTGTCATCCCTGAGTGAAGATGTAATGAAGATGCTATCCATTTTCAGCCTGCACCCACAGAGTAAGCTAACTCATTGATAAATCAAGTTCAAGCTTTTCCATCTTCCTTCAGCGGATCATATAGGTCCCCCACACTATCGTAGGGAGGGAGCATGGGGTGTGGGGGCAACCATGATGCCATGCGGTATGGGCTACCTGCTCACGCTCCCTGCTTGCTTATGTGCTCTGGTCCTGCTTGTGATCGCTACTAGAGGTATCATTTCCATCTTAGGATGGACGGCTGTTAGTCCCACCACCTTCATGACTTGATGGTCCTGACTAGGATGGACAGTTCTAGATATATTATCACTTGGTGTCTCATGGTTCCATTTCTACAATGACTCGGTAGCATACCTAAAACTATTTTTTCAAAAACGCGTGTAAATTCTCTCCTGCAGTTAATATAGCCTTACATCAAGATCCCAGGGACCAGCATTGTGATTCTGCCATTGGGTCTTGTCAGAAATTCACACTGCATTACTTTCCACACTGACACCTCCAGTACCACAGGGTCTACCAGATCTCATGGTCCAACTTGCTAATACCTTCCTACCTGTCACTTCTGGATCTGTTTCTAGTGATCGGTTTTTCCTCCTATTTATGGATCATATTTTTATGTTTCTTTACATATTTTTCTAGAAACTTTTTATTGGATGTTGGGAATTGTGAACATTAGGTTGTTTGTTGATGGATTTTGTTGTAGTCCTTTAAATAGTATTGTGCTCTATTCTGGTGCACAGCCAGATTTCTTGGAATTCATTTGGTCAAGCCTTACTTTTAAGCTTTCTTAGGGGAGGTCCAGAGAAGCCTTGGGGTTAGAGACACAGCGTCACTACTAAGGCAATACCCGTTAGAGGAATCTACCTGATTCCCCACACAGTACGAGTTATTTCCACTCTTGCCAGTGGGAACAAAAGCTATTCCAAGTCCCAAATATAACTGAATCATTTGACTGCTTTTCAGTTCTTCATTTCTTCGCTTGGGTAGTTTCTCTTTACACTTTCAGAGATCAGTGCTCAGCCAAGGATTCAAGGGTCCCACTGAAGATCTACAGAAAGCTCTCCCTGATGTTTCTTCCTCCTCTCCTTTACTCCTTCCAACAAATTCTATCCACCTGGACCTCCTGAACATTGATCTCTCCCCTCCATTCCGTAAGACCACGGGTCCCAGTTTGGCTTCCCCCATCCATGCTTTGCTGCCTGGAAGCTGGCTCCAAGTCATACACTTGAACAATGGTTGAACTCTCTTTTTTTTCTCTTCAATATCTCATTCCTGTTTTACCATCACAGCGGGAAGTGCACTATTCTCCACCCGTACGCCGTTCCAACTAAAGTTTTAATGACTAGACAACCTCCTTGTGCTGGGAGCTGTGTACGCACCATCTGTCCACCAGGGAAGGGGGCTTCATACCTAGCCAGCCAGCAAGTGCCCAGTCTCACGATGATGTCTTACTGCCTGTGATCTAGGGCCACTCTGGTCCCAGTTATTCCAGTTTGATGCTGAGGTAGACTCAGGAGCACAACGGATGTGTGGCAAAGGCATACCTCTAAAAAGAAAAGGGAAAAGGAGGTTTGGGCTTTTCCCAATAGACCTGCAATGCAGGTCTGACATTGTCTCTGCCAGCCCACCAAGGAGCTCCAGAGAAGCCTGGATTGGGAGGTTCTGAGCTGGGCTGAAATAGCTGGGCCCTTGTGCCACCACCTTGCTCAGTCTTTGGCTGGAAGAGGCCAGGGGGATGGGGGTGAGCACTGCTGGCGGCGCTCACCGCCTTGCTCAGTCACAGGCTGGGTGCCCCCTGAGAGCAGTGTGTGCTGATCCTGAAGTCTGCAGTGGACCCTGAAAAAAGTAGCAGCAGCAGACGTCAGCCAACCACAACCCTCGCAGCAGGTCAGTGGGTCCTTTTTAGAGGGCGGGTCTGAATGGCACACTTCTGTGTGTGTGTCTGTCACAACTCCGAATCCCAGAGGAGAAATGAGCATTCTTGGGCCACAAAACAAATAAATACCAGAAACAATCAGCGATGAGGCTCCTACACCGCACTCACGCAGCGGCCGCACTCTGGTGGCTGCACCCCCACAACCACAGCTTAAAACCCGCCCCTAAGTGGTTTTGAAAGGCCGCTAACCCTCGGTGCTTCCTAAACCCTGCAGCAGGCCCGCAGTTTTCTTTGTCCAGGAAGATTGTGTTCTGCCAGCACAGTTCTCTCTCGCTCAGCAAGCAGCTCAGGCAGGTTTTTGTTCTGGGTGCTGAACATGGCCTTGTCCCCTGACATTGTCACCTCTGTCCAAGACGCTCCCCCACCCCTCAGGCCATCGTCTGGCTGGCTCCTTCTCAGCATTCAAGTTTCAAAACCTCTTCCTCCGTGAGGCCTTGCCTGACCCTTGCATGTGACGTCCACCACACTCTACCCCACCCCCTGGCCCCATTTCATATGTATCAGTATTTGAACTCTCTCTGGAGTGGAAACACCATGAAAACAGGGGCCTCGTCTGTCCTGCTCACTGCTGTGTTCCCAGTGGAAGGTGGACTAAACAAGAGTGAAAGACGTTGGCTTTGATGACTTCAAAGTCACTGATGAGGGAGCATTTCTGTGCTCCTGGAACACAGTGAGGACTCCCTGATGACTTATTTAAGAGTGAATTTAAAAATAAATGGCATTTCAATGAAACGTGAAGCGGGGAATATGAGATTTTTAGGAAGTTAAGTAACGACTAGAAATACATGAATGCACTGAGTTTAAATGAATTGTTTTCGGACTCTTAAAAACATATAATCTGATAAAAAGTTGACACACATAGACAAATATAGATGGCCCTGTGGGGAAGCACAGAAGTGGGGCGGGGGGCGTTGCGGGCCACCTAATCCTCTGTCATGGTCCCTGAGGTGCCTGCTCACACGCAGAGCTGCAGGGAAGCCCTTGGACAACTCCTTCCAGGGAAGCTCGAAAGTCAGAGCAAGGGAGAGATGGGAATGACTGCCTTGTATACGGATCTAGGGGGCACTGGGGTTTTATTCTGGGGGTGGGTTGCGGTCAGGCAGAGTCGATTGGAGCCTGTGGAGCAGGAGGGCCTAAAGGGGACAGGGAAGGGGCTGATCAATGGAGCAAGAATTGGACCAACAGTGAAGGTGGAAGGTGTAGCCTAAGAGAAAATCTAGGCATGAATTTCCTGGAGATAAGAGGAGAAAAATCTCAAGAGAAATGTTGACATAAGGGATATTTTGTAGTTGGTGCCAGCCACATAATTAAAATAACTGATTCACTACAATGAGAAATACTCTCTGGATTGATCAATTCAGAGGTGAAAAATGTTTTAGTTCATGAATTATGGAAGAGGAGGGGAAAATGGGATACCCTAGACTTGAATAGTACAAAATTAATTTTTTTGTTATTGAACGTGTTTCAAGTTCCAACTAAATCTTTGTAATCAGAAATATGCTTTTCTTACTTAAAGTGGGATTTATTGCATAAGAGATGCCTATTTTATATAGGACTGTAGAGGAAGCATTGGAAATATTTACCTCATCCCAGTAGAAGCCAGTGCTGTGAATATTATCAGGAGGGCTAGAGGTATTCTCCAGCTGTGGTGGTAAATGAGCTACAAAGAGAAATGTAGGGTCTTTTTGGCAGGCACCAAAATGTGAAGAATCAATAAACAGTCAATGCAAGCAGATATTTTAGAAAATAATTGTCTGGGATTTTAAAATGTGTCCATGATAATTTCAGAACCAGAAATTTAGCTTGTTTTCTATCAAAAATCGCAGTCCAAAAGGCGCCGCTGGGGTTATAATCACGCTGGCTCTGCCTCTGTGATACGCAAGAACACCTGCAGACAACCCGGGCCCACTCCCGACTGCGGTCTGCCAGTGGGGCGTCGCGGTTAGCAGCGTGGGCTGGAGTCCGACTGCCTGGGCTCGGATTAGCCTCTGTCCTTCATTTCGTCAGGGACAAGTGGCCTGACATCCCTGTGCCCAGTGTCCTCATCAGTAAAGTGGAGATGGTTCAGTGTGGCACACAGAGTTGTTCTGAGGCCTGAATGTCGCAACTCAGGCAAAGCACTTGGATGCTACACCTAGACGGTGACCCATAACTATGAGCCATGGAAACCATTAACCATAGGTATGTTAGTCCATTGTATCTGGTTTAGGGAGGTGAATTTTTTTTTTCAATGTGTGGTTGCCTCTCGTACGTCCCCCACTGGGGACCTGGCCCGCAGTCCAGGAAATGTGCCCTGACTGGGAATTGAACTGGCGACCCTTTGCTTTGCAGTCTGGCACTCAATCCACTGAGCCACACCAGCCAGGGCAGGCAGGTTAATTTTAAGAGCTATTATATGATGTTGGGGTCGAAGGGATCGTAAGCATCCTCTGGCCCCATCCCCTCATCCACTGGATTCTCAGATCCCCTAAATGATCACACGGTCCCTGCTTCCACCACACCATGCTGGGAACTGGAGAAGTGTCGTTCATAGGCAGCGCTCGTTGTTGGAAAGCGACGGAGCCCCAGCCTGCCTTCCGCCCCGACTCCCGCAGCCGTCGCTCTCTCAGGGCCCACAGTAACGCCGGTGCCCTTCCCCCCGGCAGGCATCCAGGTGCCTGGGAGTGACTGTCTTCTCCAGCTCAAGCGTTTTCCAACACAGGAGAAAATTTCAACCTCCTTGATTTGGTGGGAACCCACTCTTTTATTAGTCATTTTTATACGACCTCTAGAAATACGACATGAAATCATTTAAAAATGCACTTGAATTTTTATGTTTTACACATTTTCAGGAAAAACACCCCTTTACTGAATATCAAAATAGAATAGGAAGTTCCTAATTATATACCTTTATTCTTTGTCAAAAATATTATCAGTACTTTGGGTACTGTGAGAGCTATGGTGGGGTGGGGGCAGTGGGCAGGTGGGGAAGCCTCAACAGACGGCAGCAGTGGCTGCGAAAGACGTTTGGTTTTTGCGTGCAACCCTAACGCCCCCTCTCCAGGCCTGGAGCCCCGGGTTCCACACAGGGTAGACCTCTAACATTTTTATTGATAACATCTGGAGGGGATAACATCCAACTGACACAAATCCAAGTAGAAAAAGGCAACATGACTGTGATAGAGTGAAGAAGGGGAAGTAACATGACATTTCCCTGGAGCCTCATGGAACTAAAGACCACCAGGGTTATGACCAATTTATATGTTTATGAAAGACCGTCCCCTGTTATCTGTGTATCTCGATAAAGCTTCAAGCATTAAAAAGGCACGTTGGAAGGAAGCTGCATTCCTATCAGTACTCTCAGGGAGAAGATCCTGGGCATACATTCTACTTATAGGTGTGTTGATGTCTGATTAAACAAAGTGTATCCCCTGGCGATGCCACTTTGCTTGATTTTCTCATTCATTTTCTTTGGGGGGTTCACTTTTCTGAATCAACCACACTTCATTATTTCTATCAAGCAAGTTGAAAGGGCTGTTGTAGCCTGCAGTGTAGTAAACCTTTTCATCGAAAACTTTTCCTTCTTCCCTCAAAATGCTTGCTAACGTCAAAAGTTGTTCTTGATTCTTTTGGGCACTAGAGAATCCATCGAAAGACCTACAAAGGAGAACGTAAATAACCATGAATGATTTTAGTACGGATGCCAATGTCAGTCTGAAAAGAAAAGCTGGAGCGGATACAGCGAACCTGCGTGAAGCGCAGTTTCAGAGCTCCGCCTGCCCTGCCCCGAGCCTGCCCTGCCCCTGAGCCGAGAGCTGCTTTCCTCTGGTTCCCAGTCTCAGTGGGACCGCAATGCACCATCTGTTGGCAGGTAGATTTAGAATTTACACCATCTCATCCTCTAATTCTGTGCTTCTCAGGCTTTAATGTGCCTACGAATCTTGCTAACATGAGGTTCAGGAACTCAGGGCAGGGCCTGAAAGGCTGTATGTCTAACAAGCTCTCAGTAATGCCGGGGCTACTGGTCAGAGAACCACACCGAAACATACTTAGCAACCTCCCTTCCAGACTTTTGATTTTCTATCGAACACTTTCCCTTTCTTCCTCTCCTTGGGCAAAGGATAGGCACTGATTTATGGATGAAAATAATACAGCTGTGACCCTATGAATTTACAGTCTAAGGCAAGAGACAAGCATCTTGGCAGCTCGCTCTCTATAACCGGAGAAGAGATTTATCAGAGACAGGACCAACGTGAATAGGAAGGCTGAGGGTAAGATTAACTCAGGATCAGGGGTGTGATCTGAGTCAGGTGTGGAATGGAGGATGTTTTTGCTGGGTAGAGGAAGGGGAGGAATAAGAAAAGGAGCAGAAGTCCAAAACGGCAAAGCATTTTCATAGTCAGGTACTAAGTGAGCTCAGGAAGGGAGTCAGAGGCAGAAGGAGAACCTTGTATAGCACCATCCTAAGACCTTTGGGGGATTATTCTCTAAATATTTCAAAGAGATGTTGAAAAGAAAAGTAAGTTGGTCAGATCTCAGTGAGATACATGGGAGGTTTGGACATGGGAAGAAAAGAGAGTCAAAAGATTTAAATTAACCATGATTGGTGTGGCTCAGTGGGTTGGGCGTCATCCCACAAATCAAAAGGTCGCCCCTTCAATTCCCAGTCAGGGCTCATGACTGGGTTTTGGGCCAGGTCCCTGGTTGGGGGCATGCGAGAGGCAGCCAATTAATGTTCCTCTGCCTCTATTTTTCCTTCTCTTCCTCTATCTCTAAAAATAAATAAATAAAACCTTTTAAAAAAGATTTGAAAGTGTGGAAAAAGAATAACATTTTTTAAAGATTTTATTTATTTATTATTAGAGAGGGGAAGGGAGGGTGAAAGAGGAAACATTAATGTGTGGTTGCCTCTTGAGCGCCCCCTACTGGGGAACCTGGGCCGCAACTCAGGCTTGTGCCCTGAGTGGAAAGTGAACTGGCAACCCTTTGCTTTGCAGGCCAACACTCAATGAATCCACTGAGCCACACCAGCCAGGGCAAGAATAAAATTTTTAAGCATAAATTTTAAAGTATAGAAACAAAAATATCCTTAGAGTAAATCATGACAGGACATAGGCTTAGCTGAGTTGCTGACATGTAAATATGAGGAATTTGATTTTGAAGGTTAAGAATAGGAAACACAGAGAACCAAATATGTTCCTAATATGCCTTCTTTAGCATAAGTTTCTTTATCAAGAAAGGATCAGTCCTACCCTTCTTCAGATAAAGATATAAGCTCTCAAGGGCACAGACCAAACCATGTCTATTTTACTCAACAATGTCTGTCAAGCACCGAACATCGTTCCTCACATGTAGTCTCATTAAAATCCTTGTTGAATAAGTGTAGGACCAGTTCTGCAATTTTCAGCATGTTGACTGAGAATAATTCTGAAGTAGATGTTAAGAAATACTTTGCCTCCTAAATTTATTATTTATTTCCTTAATAATAGCCAACTCTTGGTATGTTCTGCCAAAAGGGAATTTGTCTTCAGATCCTACTCCTTCCTTGAAATCATATCTTGAAGCCCCTAATTAGAAATCACCTTCTGTTCTGTGAATACATATTGTTCTACAATGATCTATCCGTACTTGCTCCAGTACACAAACATACTGAGCCTCCCCACACACACCTGCCTTGCTTGGAGCTGAAGGGTATGGACAGAGTAATATGCTGCTGCATTCTTGAGGAAGTTACTGGCTATAAATAGGTCATTATAATTTAGAATAACAGAAGGACAGAGTGGCTATTAGAGGTCATTATAATTTAGAATAACAGAAGGACAGAGTGGCTAGCTGACTGGAGAAGGCTTGGAAGTTATCACAGACGAGGTGCCCTTCTAAGTCCTAGAGGATGAAAGTGGACGCTCCAGAAAGAAGAGAAAGCTAGCACTAGTAGTATTATCATGTTCATGTTCTAATTATTTTATGTATATTAACTCATTTAATCATGGCAACCCTATGAAATAGGTAGGCACTGTGATTATACACATTTTCCAAACGTGGAGACTTCGGCAAGGAAAGCCTAGTAGCTCGCCTGACGCCAGAGGTAAAGAGACGTTCAAGAACGTGGCCTGCTCAGTGAACGTGAAGAGTGTGAGAGTCAGTGCAGCACGGCTAGTGGGGGAGACAGGGTCAGGTCGGGCCACGTTATAAAAGGCGTTGTATATGATGTGAATGAACACCCCGAACTTCACACTGAAGCAAGAAGAAACTGGCAAGTCGGGGGTTTTGTTGCTGTTGTACAAAAAGCACAGTTCCAGTACAGAGCAAGAGAGGAGGAGACTGGTGGGCAGAGAGGAGCTGGGAGGCTACTGAAGGGGCATAGTCAAGATATGAGATCAATAGACACGTGAGTATCTGCCATGTCAGGCACTGAGCCCAGCCCTGGGGTAGACAAAGATGACTTAGGTACGTACGGTCCCCATATGAGGAAGAGCTGAGGAGGTAATGTGGAGGGAAGGGAACAGAATCATGACCATTTCCAGGCCATGGGCTAGATCTGGAGACCTGCTGTCAGGGAAGAGTGTGCTGACAATGGCCTTGGAGGTCCTCAGCAGGGTGTCTGATAAGCCGATGAAGCCCTTTACTGAGACAGGCGCTCTAACATCACTGCCCATGTAAATTGGGCATGGGGGAGAGACTTGTTTTTAGAGCTGTTGTGTTTGATCCCCACCCCTACCCCGCATGGAAATGCCCAAGAAGTGGGGAAATCGGTCAGGAGACACTAAATTTGAGAGTCATTAGACACAGATATGTGAAGCTTTGTGAACAGATCACCCAGAGCAAGCCTGCTGTGACATGAGGGTCAATAACAGGCATCTTCCCTGGCTGGTGTGGCTCAGTGGATTGAGTGCTGACTCGTGAATCAAAGGGTCACCGGTCCAATTCCCAGTCAGGACACATGCCTGGGTTGTGGGCCTGGACCCCAGTAGGAGGAGCTCAAGAAGCAGCCACACATCGATCTTTCTCTCCCTCTCTTTCTCCCTCCCTTCCCCTCTCTAAAAATAGATAAAATCTTTAAAAAATATTCTTTTAAAAATTATAAAAAATAACAGGCATCGGCAGTGATTCTCGGGGTGAGGAGTCGGGAAGGAGGAAAGGAATGACAAGAGGGAGATGCTTAGAGTTACAGGCTGGACAATATCAGATTGGGAACAGACTGGTCAACACACAAAGACCGCAGGGGTCCCCGGGAAGGAACTGTTACATAACAAAAGCAAGTGCGCTGTGGATGGTGGCGAGAGCAATTCTGCGGAGGTGGTGGGGCTGTCCCAGGCTGTGGTGGTGTGAGGAGCATGGAGGAGGCGAGCGAGCAGACAGACGGATCCCTTTGACAGGCTGGTGGTGATGGGCGGGGGAGAGAGGGGTAATCAAGGGAATCCAATATGAGACTGTTATTATCAGGTACTGTGTGTGTTTTCAATTTCAACAGAGAATTTAGTATCAGGAATCAGGGGGACAGGTATTAGAAGTCTGAAAAGGTGAAAAGAAAACAGCAATAACCTCAGGAAGCAGCAGCCCTCCCTTAGGCCGGTGACAAAAGGGAAGAGTTGGGGTTATCAGAACCTAGAAGCTGGAAGTCAAGGTATTTTTGTTCAGGCTTAACTAGATGGCAGGTAAGGGCAGTCTTATGCTTTGGTGGAGAATAGTTTGCATTGTGTCTGATTTGTGGAAGACATGCAACAGATTCTGCATTAAATACATTGATTCTATCTTGCAACAGACCCTGGGTAACATATGCAACTAAGCCTGTAGGAAAACGACACAAAAATGCATTAGACCTGTTTTTATGGAAGAACGAAAAGTCTACTGGAATTGCATAGGAGCTAAACAGCGAGTGCAGGCCAGTGAAACCAGCAGTGAGCAGGGCTATAAATTATCTACCACTTACCGTACAAACACAGTCATTTCGGCTCTGTCTTCAATGAAGACATCTGACTCTGAAGGCCTGGGCGGATCAGATTGCTGCTCAGAGGGGACATACAGGGAAATGGTAACGGTAGACTCGCTAAAAGGACCTGAACCCGGCTCCACGTAGCTCATCACTGGAGCCGTCATCTTTATTTTCATCTCTGTGCCATAAAAACATACATTTAAGTACAAAGGAGACCGCGGAAGCACACGTAGGGTATTCATCACTGCTTTTCAAACTTCACCGACTATTTTGTGATCTGTATTGCATGATTCACTTTATGCTATTGGCATAAACACGGGGAGGGGCAACGGAAGGTTTACAGTTTTGAGTACACAGAACGCAGAGTTTATTTCTGTATGACCATTTATTAAGTATTGTGTTATTTTCCATACGAACACCTGTGAACCAACCTTTGCCCCACCCTGTATTTACCTTTAAGATAGTTTTCATCTTTAAAAAATAAGGCCCAGATGACTCAATTATCCACTGCTAACATTAAACACTTAGTATTTTTGGCTACTAAATTCTAAAGTTCCAGGGACAGCAGGGAAGATTTGAGATCACATAGTCCAGTCCATTCACTCTTTTTACAACCCAGAAAAGGAAGCCAGAAACAGAAGTTACATCTTGAGACTCCAGATCCTGTGTTCTTTGTATCTATCTGCCTCCCACCCTCTCTCCCCCTACAAGTTACCAAATATTCTGGAACCACCACCATAAAGAGGTGTAAACACTAGTTACAGATGAACCCCTCCCCACCCCCCAATCCAGCGGCAACACAGTCAAGGGGAGCAGAGGCTGAAGAGCACCCCGCAATACTCCCCTCCTCTAGACACTGCCAAGGATCTTGGGAGGAATCCTTGTCTTCAAACATTAAATCTTTGTGGATCTGGTTATTTTTCTGAACTAAGGGATATTTCTTCAATAAGCTAAAATTCAAGAATAAGCCAGGGGCTCAACCATGAGATATATAATTACACAGTAAATTGCCTTTACCTTTCTCGTTTTTGCCTTGAATGTAGCTGTTCAGCCTGGTAAAACCAGTCTGGATGGCGGAGTCCCAGTCCATGGACTCAATGGAGGTGCTGACCCACTTGGCCGGTCCGTAGTGTCGGATCTCATAACTTCCGGGCTAAAGTGGAACAGAAAACTTGGGGGAGCCCTTCTAACAAGGCAGGACGCGACATGCAACAGCACGGTGCCTTGATTTTGGGTCCACATGGGACGTGCTGCCTAGAGGCTGCGCCCCACTGGGGTACGGCCCCAGGTTCTGGCTCCTTAGGGCCGGGCATGACCCTCCACCCCCAACCCCCGCGCCCCTGCGGCTTGTGGGCTTCTTGAGCCCTGGCCACAAGTGCCGGGCTGCGGGGCTGCGGGGCTGCGGCGCTGCGGAGTCGGGGCGGGGGACGTTGAGGGTGGGGCGGTGGGTGAGGAATCAGCCCAATCTTGTTAAGAAAAAGCATCTGTTACGGCCCTCGGCCCTGAGAGTCCCACCTCGTGTTCTGGGACAAGATGGATCACCCCCGCCCCCACCCCGATCCACCAAAGAAAAGTAACTGAGATGTGGCCAGTACCTTGGGGTCACTTCTAACCAACAGAATTTCCCCGTTTCCGCAGGAATGGAGCTAGGGGCTCAGGCCATTTTAAAATTGTATTTCTCCCTTAAATCTGCGGGAACCCCCGGCCTCACTACAAATCTGCCCGAAGAAGGCCTCCCCCGAGGCTGGCCCACACCCTTCGCGCCCGCCCGCGGAGGCTCCTACCTGGGCGTCTGCATCCCCCAGGGCCTTCCAGTCCGGGGTCTCCACCACCTGGGCCTCCGCGTCCTCGGCTGGCCCAGGCTCGGGCTCTAGCACCTCGGCCATGGGCAGCACCAGCGATCCAGGCAAGACCGTAGCGAGCGACCCCAGGAAAGTCGCACCGGGGCCACTGGAGGCCGCCCTGCCTGCGTGTGCGCCGTGCGGGCCGCTAAGGTCCCGAGTCCCCGCCCCGGTGCTGCCCAGTGCCGACCAGCGGCCCCGCGGACGCGCGTCCCGCTTCCCCGCAGTGCGGAAGTACGCTGGACACTGCCCAGGCCTGGGCGGGTGAGGGCCTGTGACCCCTGAGGGACCCCGATTCCAACCCCGGGCAGCTGGAGCCGGGGCCGCGCCCCCTGCCGGGTCCCCTCCGTAGGGCGGAGGGAGGGAGACTGGGTTGCAGAGACCGCTTGAGTTCGGATGTCTTCGGCGGTCCCTCCCACCCCCGCCCTTGTGCCCTTGTTTTTGGGGCAGAGGTGTCGGCTGTGGGAGCCAGGGTGGGCGGGGCAGCAGGGTGGAGCAGCTGGCTGGCGCGGTTTCTGGTGCAACCGGTTCGGGAACCTCTCCGGCGGCCCAGCCCGCGCTTGGAGCCCTTTCTGCTGACGGGTCTACTCCCGGGAGGGGGTGAGCTTGGGCCTGCGCCTCGTGGGTGCACCCAATGAAGGGCAGAAAGGAGGCTCCTCTCCCACTGGGAGGGTGGGCACGCAATGGCGACCCTGAACTTGGTAGGCTCTCCTTGCTGCCACCCCTGTGGTCCCAGGGCTCCGAGCAAGGGTTGGATGCAGGGCCCAGTCAGGACTGAGTAGCTTTACACCTAGAAGGTGGCCTAGTGCCTCTCCCGGGAGGAGTTGGATGGACCACAGTCACGCTTGGAGAGCATCTTAAACTGTCCTCTTTCTTGACCTCCCCTCCCCCAATAACCCCCCAACCTGTGAGTCATTCCACCAGGTCTAACAGGCCGAGGGGAGGGGAGTAGTAGAAGGGGAAGGGAGAGGGTTGAGAGGACGGAGAGAGAGGGGACATGGGCTAGACCGTAGGGCTTTTTAAATTTCTTGGCTAGATTTATTTTTTATTTTTTGTGAAAGATTTGTTGAGATATAATTCACTTACCATATAGTTCACCCATTTAATGTGCACCACTCAATGGGGTTTAGTATACTCATGGCTGCGCAACAATCACCACAATCAACTTTTAGAACATTGGCATCACCCCCCAACTCCCCAGCCCTCAGCCCTGAGCAACTGATCTGCCCTGTATCTCTGGACATTTCGCATAAATGAAATCAGTGTCTTAATCATCAGCACTGCTGTAACAAAGCACCACAAACTAGTAGCTTATGAACAAGCAAGATGTATCTCTCACAGTTCTGAAGGCTGGGAGTCCCAGAGCAGGGTGCCAGCAAAGTCAGGTGAGAGCCCTCCCTCCTTACATGGAAGGAAGAGCAAGGGAGCTTTCTCTGGTCTCTTTTATAAGGGCACAGATCCCATTCATGAGGAGGCTTCACTCATGACCGACTCATCCCCGAAAGGCCCCACCTCTTAATACCATCAGAGTGGACATTAGGTTTCCAACATATAGTTTGGGGGGCAGCCCATAGCATGCAGCATGTGGTCCTTTATTACTCGCATCTTTTGCTCAGCAAAACATTTCACGTTTCACCCATGTTGTAGCATATATTAGTATTTCATTCCTTTTTATGGCTAAAAAATATCCTGTCGGATAAATATTTTATTTATCCATTCGTCAGTGGTTGGACATTTGAGTTGTTTCAGACTTTTGGCTACACTGAATAATGCTGCTGTAAACATTCAAGTACAGGTTTCTGAATGGACACGTGTTTTCATTTCTCCTGGATAAATACCCAGGAGTGGAATTGCTAGGTCAAATGGTAACTCAGTCTTTACCTGTTTGAAGAACTGCCAGACTGTTTTTTAAAGTGACGGTACCATTTTACATTTTCAGGAGCAGCATGTGAGCATTGTGCCCAGTGCTTTTTTTTTTAAGCTGTAATTCACGTAACATAAAAGTCCCCTTTCTCAAGAGTTCAGTTCAGTAGTTTTCAGTATAGTCCCTATAGGTTGCACAACTCCCCATCTGTGACCCATCTGAGACCCTCGTAATTGCTAATCTACTTTCTATTTCTGTCGATTTGCCTATTCTGGGCGTTTCATATAAGTGGCATCACATAACGTGGGATCTTTTGTGGCTGGTTTTTTGCACTTAGCATAATTCAAGAGGCATCCATGTGGCGGCACGGATCAGCATGCGCTTCATTCCTTTCTATTGCTGAATAATATTCCATTGTATGGTCCTAGTACTTTTTAAGCATTTGACGTTCTCTCTTTTCCTTCCCCTTCCTTGCCCAAACAAGTGTGCAGTGGCCTGCAGACACATGACACGTTCTAGTGTTTGTATCAAATCTATTATTATGCAGAGCTAACTTTGAATTATTTAGTGAAGGATAAATAATGAATTTTGATATTTTAAAAAAGTCACTTGTTATTTTAGCTTAAGTAACAGATATGATCCATTGTTTAGTTGACTGCAAAATTAAAAATATAATGTTACTTCACAGTGTTTTTTAAGAGGAAAAGGAAATAATCCACATTTCTGTTTAAGAAATCTATTTTTCTTTTCATTTGCAGATTGCATTGTACAGTTATCAATGGCTTTTGGGGGCATTTTAGTTATAGAAAACCTGAGGCTAAATTTGATGGCATTCATTTTACAAGGTGTGGAATATATAATAAATGAAGACAGTAACAGGTGACTCAGCTGAACTATCTACAATACAAGGTGATAATTAGTCATATATATGAACAGAAAGAAGGAAAGAAAAGGATTTATTTCAAAATAATAGGATTTGCATTAGAACAAATTTAATGAAATTTAGAAGGCTCAAGATTTATACCCATATGCCAAGACAATCTGGCTAGTTTTCTTGTTGATTGTGGTAAAATTGTCCTTTCTTTTGGCTCCTATTTAATCAGTGTTTACATGACGCTGTGAAGAAGACAGTTTGTTTAAGCTCTGTGGCACAGCTGGTGGTGCGGTGCGGCGCTTTAATGGCCGGCCAGCCGGGGAGAAGAGCCCTGGAGAGTCAGTCCAGCAGTGGTAGCTGCCGCTGATGTTCCTTATTTGTAGCGGCTGTGTTCTGTTACACCACCACGAGCATTAAATTAGTGACTACTGAACCCTTGCTTCTAGAAGAATTACAGAATTAGGTTCTAGCGAGCCTGTCAGCATTTTGATCTACTGATTCATACATGAGCTTGTGTTATGTGTGTTATTGTATAAAGATCCCTTATTTAATATACATTGTTAAATCATTAACACTGAATGCACAACCAACAACACTATAACTCATGTCTTAATAAAGCTTCTCTAACACACATCACTTCTCCAAAAGGCACATCACAGCCTTCCTGCACTTAGGCACACTAGACAGCACATCAGCACTATGCCTGGGGACATTTTAAATAATAAAATCACCAACAAAAAGCCCAACAATGCCAAAAACATGACACTAAGTAGACTGAGAAAAGGACACTTTTTTTTTATTGTATGAGAGCTGTCCAAAAAATTCATTTAGTTTTTTCCATAAGATGGCTTCAGTAGCACTTAGTCGTCTTTACGTCCATTCAAAACAATTTTGTTAGATTGTATTGTGACAGCTGCCATATCAGCATGCATTTAAAAAACAAACTGATCCAAACTGATCAAACTTGGTGAATACCTGTGTAGCCATTTTAATATTGAAGATGGAAGAAAATACTCAACATTTTTGGCATATTATGCTTTATTACTTCAAGAAAGGTAGAAATGCAACTGAAACACATACACACAAGATTTGTGCAGTATATATAGAAGTTTCTGTGACTAATCAAACATGTCAAAGGTGGTTTGTGAAATTTCATGCTGGAGATTTCTCGCTGGATGATGCTCCCCAGTCGGGCAGACCAGTTGAAGTCAATAGTGATCAAATCAAGACATCAATTGAGAACAATCAATGTTATACCATGCAGGATATAGCTGACATACTGAAAATATTCAAATCAATGAAGTTATTGGTGAAAGTAAAAAATGTGTCTTATTTTATGGAAAAAGCCATATGGACTTTTTGGCCAACCCAATAGAAGGCAGAGCTTCACTTTGCTTAACCACAGCTGGGAATATGTGCACCCAGTGGCTCAAATTTTTCAGTGCTTTTCACCTGCGCTTGTCCACTAGCGATCGAGAAGGCTCTGTGAGGATTGCTTTTGGAATGACAATTACATACATGCAAGTTGGTGAATTTGCAAATACAGAATCTATGGACAGTGAGGATTGGCTGTCAGCATTGCCTACAGTAAGTTACATAAGTCACTTCAATCCATATTTCAGTGACCAAAGCAAGTCATAGGGTGTTGAGGGTGGCAAAGGGAAGCCACCATGCTGTGTTCTTAAAGAACCCAACTGAGGGAAGAACTCAAGTTGAACACTGATATTTTTAGTCTTTAATCAAGGCTATGTCTGTTGATTTTAGAGAGAGAGGGAGAAAGAGAGAGACATTGCTCAAGGATCCAACCACAGCCTAGGTGTATGTGCCCTGGCCAGGAATGGAACCTGCAACCATTCTGGTGCATGGGACGATGCTCTAACTAACTAAGCCACTGCGCCAAGCCTGAAACGCTGACCCTTAGAAACCTAACAACCATGCTGAGGGAAAGCTCAAGCAACTTCATGGAGAGCCCTGTGCAGGTTCCTAGCTGAGGTCCTGGCTGACAGCGGCATCAGCCACCACCCACGTGAGTGACCCAGGATTCAGATGGCTTCAGCACCCCGCCATCGAGTCACCTTTGGACATCCTCAATCTTTCCAGGCCGAGGCCCCAGGGGTCATGGAGCAGACACAAGCTATCCTCACAGAAGCCACAGAATCTGTGGTCATAGCAAAATGGTTATTATTTTTAACACCATTAACTTTGGGGTGATGAGTTTTTCAGGAATAATAACTGAAAGAGTGTCTTATATATATAGTGCTGTAGTAGGTGCTGGTGGATAACATTTGGTCCTGGTCTTCACATACTTTTCTACCATATCATTGTTTACTCTGGGGTCATTCTTGTACCCACAATGTAATTAACTATTTGGTCTTATTGCTACCACTATCTCAAATATGGTACCTGTAGAGTTGGTAACAACTTGGTATTCTAACAGGAAATATAATCTTTTCTTGGCCTGGCTTCTTCTTTAGTGTTGTTTTCTTTTTTACGTGAAAATTGTAACACTCATTCATTATTGAGACACAAAACAACTCAGGAAGCCCCCTTTATACTAAGCTGCATT